ACAAGGGAAATTAACCCTATACAGTTTTTTCTATATTCAACACTCATGATGGAAGAAACTGAGACTGTAACAGAGTATCTGAATAAGGTGCAGGAGTTGGTCAACGCAATCCGAGCATGCAGTGACAGTTTCAGAGCAGCATATTGTAAACAAGGTATTAAGATCTCTTCCACCGAGTTTTGATCATCTTGTAATTACGATTGAAGAAACGAAAGACTTGGAGCATCTTGGGATTCAGGAGCTGCAACATTCCTTGGAGGCCCATGAATACAGACTCAGTGAGAGAAAACAAATGCTAGAACAGGCCTTGCAAGCGAGATCGAGTTACAAAATGAAATCAAAAGGAACCAAGGAGAGTATGAAACAGTCAAAGGGTGCCAACTAAGATGATGTTGCAGGTGATTTAGAGAAAAGTAAGAGTCGTGGCACCAAGAACAGTGGAGAGAAAGGCTGGAAATTTGACAAGAAAAAGGTGAAGTGCTATAATTGTCAAAAGCTTGGGCACTTTGCTCGTGAATGTTGGAAGGGTGAAGGGTCCAAGGCGATGTCCAAGAATCAAGCTAACCTAGCTAAAGATGATGCTTCATCAGATTCAGATATAGTAATGCTCATGGCAAAGACCAACGAAGAAAGTTCAGAAGAATCATCTTCATGGTATCTTGATTCCGGTTGTTCTACCCACATGACTGGACGTCGGGATTGGTTCATCAAGTTAAATGATGTTTCACACGGGAAGATCAGGTTCGTAGATAATCGGAGTCTGCAAGCAGAAGGGAGAGGTCGCGTGGTGTTAATTGATCATGAGAATAGAGAAATCATCATTGATGATGTTCTCTACGTACCCGGATTAAAAACCAATTTGCTAAGTCTCGGGCAGCTTCTACAGAAAGGGTTCTTTATGGAATTGAAGGAGAATGGGCTTAGCATACTTGATCAAGATAAAAGGTTGGTGATTCATGCCAAACTCTCAGATAATAGAACGTTTAGAGTAGGGATGAACACACGTAGACATGAGTGTTTTGCTTCCGTAGTTGATAATGGAGAATGGCTATGGCACAACAGGTTTGGGCACCTCAATTTCCATGATTTGTATAGACTCAGTAATGATAATCTTGTTACAGGGTTACCACAAATCAAAATACCAAAAGAAGTATGCTCAGAATGCATCCAATGCAAGCAAACTAGGTTGCGCTTCAAGAAATTTGTTGGTGGAAGAGCAACCAAAAAGCTAGGAGTTGTGTACACTGATGTTTGTGGTCCTATGCAAGTCACAACTCCAGGAGGGAACAAATACATACTCACCTTCATCGATGAATACACACGAAAATTGTGGGTGTATTTGCTTGCACGGAAAAGTGACGTTCAAGAAGTGTTTGAAAAGTTTGTCAGGATGGTTGAGAGGCAGAGTGGGGAGAAGTTAAAGGTCTTGCGTAGTGATGGAGGTGGTGAGTATTCATCAATAAACTTCAGCTCATTTTGTGAGGAGGGAATAATTCATGAGAAGATTCCACCTTATACCCTCCAACATAATGGAACTGCTGAACGTATGAATAGGACATTGCTAAACATGATACGGTGCATGTTGAAGGTGCATGTTGAAGGGAAAGAATGTGCCAAACCAGTTCTGGGGAGAGGCAGTCGTTACTGCTGCACACATGTTGAACCATGCACCAACAAAACGTCTAGAGCTGACACCAGAAGAAGCCTGGACAGGTGTCAAACCAAGTGTTTCACACTTCAAAAATTTTGGATCCATGTGCTATAAGCATGTGCCAGACCCACTAAGGAGAAAGCTCGATGACAAAGGCACACTGCATGTGTTCATTGGTTATCATGTAATAGGGGGATACAAGTTGTTTGATCCTGCCACAAAACAGGTTTCAATCAATCGTGATGTTACGTTCAATGAGGCAAGCAGTTGGTCATGGGATCGTGTTGAGAAAGAAGAAAACACTACAAAAGTGACTTTCGATGAAGAAACTGACTCAGAAGATCAGAACCGAGGTGAAGCGTCAGCTACAAGAAGATCACAGCGCACATCACATCTTCCTTCACGTCTGAGGGATTACGAAATCTTTGATGATTCAGCAGTAACAGCAGATGGGAGCTTGATTCATTTTGCGTTGATTGCAGAGGCAGAACCTATAGAATTTGAAGAAGCAGTGAAGAATCCTCACTGGCTGAGTGCAATGGAGGAAGAAATTAACTCCATCGAGAAGAACCAGACTTGGGAACTTGTCCCACTACCACCTGGTAAGAAGCCCATTGCGCTCAAGTGGGTCTATAAGTTGAAGATGAATCCTAAAGGAGAGATTTTGCGCTATAAAGCGAGACTTGTCGCCAAAGGGTTCTTGCAGAGAGCAGGGATAGACTACAGTGAGGTTTATGCACCTGTTGCTCGATTGGAGACGATTAGATTAGTGGTTGCTTTTTCCATAAACTCTAACTGGTCATTACATCAGTTAGATGTTAAATCTGCCTTTCTCAATGGTCCACTGGAGGAGGAGGTTTATGTGCAGCAACCCAGTGGCTTTGAACATCAGGAGAAGAAAAACAAAGTTTATAAATTGAAGAAGGCTCTATATGGGCTTAAGCAGGCACCAAGAGCATGGAATAAACGCATTGACACATTCCTTGAGCAGATTGGGTTCATCAAATGTAAATCAAAGCACGGTGTTTACGTGAAAATGCAGCAGCACAGGAATGAGAAAGTCATCATTTGCCTATATGTTGACGATCTCCTGGTCACTGGAAGCACTGAGAAGCTGATCTGTGAGTGCAAGCGTGATCTCCTTTCAGAATTTGAAATGACTTATCTGGGAAACTTGAGTTACTTCCTTGGCATAGAGTTCAAGAGAACACCCACTGGGATGTTGCTACATCAGACGAAGTATGCGAGGGACTTAGTAAAAAGATTTGGGATGCATCAGAGTAACTCTGCAAGCACCCCTGCAGAGTTTGGATTGAAGCTTGAGCTAAGTCCTGACGAAGAAAACGTGGATCCAGTGCAGTATAGAAGTATCGTGGGCAGCCTGAGATACCTTTGCAACACAAGACCAGATCTTAGTCTGAGTGTTGGCTTGGTTAGCAGGTATATGCAGGAACCAAAAGCATCTCATTTACTTGCTGTAAAGCGCATTTTAAGGTACCTTCATGGAACATTGAAACTGGGAATCATGCTTGCCAAAGGAGAAAACAGACTGGTTGGGTTTACTGACGCTGATTGGAGTGGTGATAGGGATGATAGAAAGAGTACGGCTGGGTATGTGTTTTTTCTTGGAAAAGCACTAATCTCTTGGAGCTCTACGAAAGAACCCATCGTAGCTCTTTCAAGTTGCGAGGCTGAATATGTTGCAGCATCCAATGCAGCATGCCAAGGAATCTGGTTGACAACACTGATGAGAGAATTGGGAGTTGAACAGGTGCAAAAGATGAAGTTACTGATTGATAATCAATCGGCAATAAGCCTTGTAAAGCATCCAGCTCTACACGGTAGGAGTAAACATATAGAGCTTAAATACCATTTCATTCGGGAGCAAGTGGCAGCTGGGAAGCTAGAGATTGATTACTGCAAATCTGAGGAACAAGTGGCGGATGTTTTAACAAAACCTTTGAAAAATGAAAAATTCAAATGTTTCAGAGATAATCTTAGTGTTGTAGATGTTTCATGCTATTTTTAGTTTGAGGAGGAGTGTTGAATAAGCCAAACTAAAAAAGCTTCTGTTACAAGTTCAGTTTTCTGTTATCTGTTTTTTTTCTGATATAAATAATACTTCAGCTGCATGCATGCATGTACGCACGTACTATTCAGTTACTTCCTTTTCCTGTACCCTTTACATTCATTATGTTTTCCTTAGTACGTAACATATCTAAGATGTTTCATTACTGATCAGCCTAAAGGATGGGCTTTGTGGCTTCCTTGGGCTGAGTACTGGTTTAATACTACTTACCATATGTCAATTGGAACCACCCCTTTTGAGGCGGTATATGGCAGACCACCACCGTCATTGATAAGAGGGGTTCAAGGAGAAATCAGGGTTGAGTCAGTGCAGAGGGAAATAAATGATCGTGATGAAGCCCTTAGACAACTCAAAAAGCATTTGATTAGAGCTCAAGAACGCATGAAGGGACAGGCAGATAAACATCGACAAGAGAGGAGCTTTGAAATAGGTGAAATGGTATTTTTGAAGCTCAAACATCACAGACAACATTCAGTGGCAGCAAGAATTAGTCCGAAGTTAAGTGCTAGATATTATGGGCCTTTCGAAGAGGTAGAGAAGATTGGGGCAGTAGCTTATAAGTTGAAATTACCTCTAGAAGCAAGAATTCACCCTGTGTTTCATGTATCTTTGCTGAAGAAGGCAATAGGGAATTACAAAACCGAAACTTCTCTTCCTACAGGGCTTGAGGATGATAGAGTGGACGAAATGGAACCTCAATCAGTGTTGGCATCTCATAGCTTGATGAAAGGAGGGGAGAGGACAAATCAGTGGTTGGTGAAATGGAAGGGGAAATCGGTAGAGGAGGCTTCATGGGAAGATGAACTGACTTTGAGGAGTCAATTCCCAGAACTTAGTCTTGAGGACAAGACTGAAATTGAAGGGGGAAGTATTGATAAGGCCCAAGGTAAACAGGAAAATGAACCATTGGCCCATGAAAACAAAGGAGGCCCAAGGAAATGGATTGTGTATGAACGTAAGAAGAAAAAGAATGTTGACGTGGCATGAAAGGTTTCTAAGGTTGTTAGAGGAGAGAGGAAGAATGTTTTCTGTAATGTAAATAGTCATGTTTTGGGAGGGAGGGAGGGGAGACGACGGATTTTCGGTTGGTTTGGATAGAGAACCTCATGGTTGCTCTATTAGGAGCTTAGCTCTTGGCAAAAAAAGGGATTATCCTTTTTCTGAGTTTCATTATTGTCTCTACTACATTCTCAATACAGAAATTTCTTACTTACCTGTGTGATTATTGCTTTATTTTATGTGGTCGATGTTTGAATCCTATTAGTAACAAAGTAAAAGAGGACATACATTTGCACCATGTTCCAACAGTACGCTGACAGCCTCTGGTTGGGCATGACCAGCAGCCCAAACCAAAGGCGTTCCTGCATCACTTTCTAGATCAGGATTAACTCCCCTGGACAGCAAGTACTTGAGAAGTTCAGTATCTCCTACAACAAAATGAGAAAATTGAAGAAAACATGAAAACGGAACTCAATAATACTTTTCTATAATTGCACAGAAAAGAGAACAATATCATGGGAAAACTTATCTATTTATTTATTAAGGGTAAAATATGTTTTAAATCCCTCAATTTTTGGATAAAATAGGTCTTAATCCCTATTCCGCCCCTCTTCATAAACTTTAGGATATCAATTATAAACGAAGATCAGAATCATAGATTTGAATGTACAGCAACTAAAATCATTTTTAAGCGAAAATAGATGAACATAAAACACATTCATTTTAGCGATTTATTTATTAGTTTCATAAAATGCAAAAAGTTTAGCAGTACGAAAGGTGAGGAGTGCAGACCTATCCCTGCAGAATGGTGCAAGGCAGTTGCCCCTAAATTGCTAGCTATAGTGGGATCGGCACCATGGTCAATCAGATATTTAGCAGTGGCGGTATGTCCCTGACGAGCAGCATGAATGAGAGCGGTCTCTCCTAAAATGCAATAGCAATAACAATAACAATAAGGTGATTATCAGTTAATTATATTATTAGAAGTATGAAGCCTTTATATAGAGATATAGGGGGAGATGCAGCACCATCATCATCTTGAGAATCGACAGGGAGGTTCAATTCGGTTAAGAGGTACTCGCAAACAGCGGTTTGGCCTTCACGGGCGGCAAAATGCAGTGCTCCTCGCTTGTTCGCGTCCTTTATAGCTTCCACAGATTTCGCCAAATCCTTCCCCTCGTCCAGCTGCAACGCCAATTCTGCAAAACCAAAAGCACACTGATAATAACATGCAATGCAATTGAGGCACACAACATAACACAAAGCGTAATACATACATACTCTTTAAGAGATCAATTGACCCAGTTCGAGCGGCATTCAAAAACAATTGAACTTTTTGCCTCGCTGCAATCTCGCATACAAAAGTGAGAGAGTCAGTAATTATTCAACAATCGATTCACACACAGAAAGAGATATACACATAGAGAGAGAAGAGAGAAGGATGTGACCTGCGAGTGCATCGGAAGCATCGGAAGCCATAGCAATGGAGTGGAGAAAAGTGAGAAAGAAGATGACGAAAAAGAAGTGGAAAATGAAGATGGGAGAGAAAGGGTTTTAGAGTACAGTTAAGTCTCAATGTTTTCTCAGTTTAGTGAGTGCGTGTCTGATCTTATATATTTTATATAAATAAATATAAAAATTAATATAAATATATGTTACGACTCTCTAGACCCAAAAGCATGCAATTCCACTGGCGGCCTCTACACTAGGGTATCACTAACCTTTAACTTTTCGTTTTATTTCAAATACATCTTTTTAATTAACAAAGTAATAACTGAATTACATAATTTATTCCTAGTAGTAATGAATCCACGGCATGAAGTTATACTAATAACAAATACAGTTCGTATTTTAATTTCTTCATGTCTATTTTAAATTTATTTTATTTATTTATTTATTTCAAGTTTTAAGTTAACATTTTTTTCAACTATATCCTTATTTTAACTTAATATTTAATTAATTTATACATATATATTTGTTATAAAATGAAAATGAAATAAATAATGTATATAATCTAATGACTATTTTATTTGGATAAAGTTTTTCACATTTCTTTATTCATACATATAAACCTTAAAATAAAGATACAAAATGAAGAATAATATAAATGCATGATTTTATTTTAAATAATAAGAATAGATAGTGATTTTTTTTCCAAATAATCATGTGTAATTCATTTATTGTAATAATAAATGTATAATGTATTTCAAAAAGATATAATTATGCAGTTAATTTAAAATAAAAATATAAATAAGTGATAATTATTTTCAAAATAATATTAAATTCTTAAGTTTATTCTGACTAATAATAAATGATAATTATTTTCAAATAGTAATAAAAACATTATAACTTTCATATAATAATAACTTGAATATTCGATACAAAATTAAGTGATACTCATGTATATAAATGCACCTTCACAAAAAAAAATTATTATAAAAATAGTCAAAATAATAATAATAATAATATAATTCATTTCCCGTAATACTTTTTGCATTGTTTTTTAATTACCGTGTATTGACAAATGTTTTTTTTTTAGGTTTAAAACATTATTAATTAGTTTTTAATTTTACCTAGGGATGACAAAGCAAGCTAGCTCGTCCTATTTTTGTTCCATCTTTGACTCGTCAAAAGTGAGGTGGGACGGCTGACTCGTTATAGTCATGACGAACTATAGACCTTGACCGCTCCGCTAAGGGACGGGTTAGCGGACTGATCCGCCATAATTTAAAAAAAATAATTTATTTTTTTAAATCAAATTTTTCAATAAATTTAATAATAAGATTATTATTTGTTTATCAATAATTAAAAATATATATATACATATATATATATATATATATTATTTTAATTTAATAATATAAATCAACTCATTGTTTTAAGAAATTATAATTTAGAACAATAATAAAATTTACATAATAATAAATAATAACAAATATATATAACGTTAAAACTTATAAATTTATATTTTTTATATTAAAAAATTCAATTACTTATATCTTTTTATTTGATAAAACTGCACATTGTTTTCGTTTCGATGAATTCTTACACATTTAATTCAAGTCATAATAATAAGAATAATCAATGCTTAGGAGAGAGAAGTTTGTGTTTCAAGAAGGATAATATTTTCTTTGAGGGTGAAACTTTTTTAACTCTTTTTTAAAAATTTTAACTTTATATATTATTTTTATAATTAACTTTATTACAATAAAAAAATTTATTAATTAGCGCGGCAACTGGCTACGAGCTTGATCGGACAGAGCTAGAACAAACTGACGGGCAAAAAACACCAACCAGCCCGACCATATTATGACTGAAGCTACCGGTCCGATCTGTTTTCTCATCCCTAATTGTATCCCTATTTTGTTTTATATTTAATTAATTTCCACTTATTGAAGTAAACAAAAATCATTACTATTTTATCAGGAAATAAATTATTTTACATTTCTTTATTTTACGTATAAACCTAAAAAAAGGAATGGAAGCAATAAACATACAATAAATTTCAAATTATAAATAATAAATACATTAATGTATTTCAACAAATATGAGGGTATATGATATTCAATTATTGTCAAGTATATTGTAACTAGTTAAATAAGATTTTTATAGTTATATTAAATTTTAATTAAATAGGATTTTTTAAGGTGATATCTAATTAGTTATTAAATATATTGTAACTATATTAGTTAAATAAGACTTTTATTTAATTGTAACTTTTTTTATTTAACAATTAAGTATTATAATGAATTTTAAGAAATATCAATCGAGTTAATCGACTAGTCAAGACTCATAAATATAAAATTTAGTAGAATCTATATTCTTAAATATTAAACTTATTTCTAAAAAAAATTATACTAATATACCGAGACAATTTGTTGAAACCACGTGAAAATAAGACAATTATTTATATCTAAATTAACAAGATTGTCACTATATCTAAATAAAAAAATAAAATTTAAATAATTTTATCCGGTAAAACTTATGAGCCCGAATTTTCCATAGAACCGTACCACAGTTTTTGAAGCTTCAATTACAACTAAGGAGTCGTACTTAATTGTTTTTTTATTGAATAATAATTTAAATCAAACAAAATTACTTTAATTTGATATAAAATTTTGAATTAAACAAAATTAGATTCGATTTAGATAATTTTGCAGTTTTCATTTTTATAAAATTATTTAATATTTTATAATAAAAATGTATATTACATGTTTTATTATGATTATTATTATACTAATAATTTTAATTTTAAATTTTTAAATAAATTACACAATCTTATAATTCAAAATTATTATAATATATTTAATAATTATAAATATATTATAATATATATATTGATAATTTAATCTAAATATATAATGTTTTATTTAAATATAATAAACAATTTGATTATATTTGGTTCGATTTTAGTTTGTTTGTAGTTTCTTTATTAGTTTTGAATTTTTTATATTTTCTCAACTATTCGATTTTAAAACCCCTATCTCTAACCTAAATATATCTTGACCATAAAAATTAGAGGTTAAATGTGTTCAGATAAAATACATAAATTCACAAAAATATTTTATTATTATAATTTTGGATTTAAAATGTATTTATTTTTTCTGTAATTTATATTTCATTATTGTAATTGGATACTTATACTTCAATCAAAGCCTCAGTTTAAGTTGAAACATGGGTTAATGAAGACAAGTAGACAGTCTACAAGAAATTAAGGAGGCCGAAACTATGTACTCAGACAACACAAGAAAAATAAGAATCACATGGGAAATCTGAAAAACATTTACCACATGGAAAATGTGGAGTACATGAGATTTTAATTTTAAAATTCAAATTCTCTTATTTTTCCCTTGATTAGTTCATCTATAAAGACTATAAATAACTCACGTGTTGGATCATTGCTTGAGACTAAGAAGATTTTTAAAAGTTAATATATAATATTATATTTTACCCAAAACTTTGAAGCATTATTTTATATATTCAACTTTTTAATTTATTCAATTTTTTATTTTTAATCAATGTAAAACTTTCAACTCATATTTAAATTTTCATTGAAAACTTTAGAGTTTATGTAAAATTTAATTTAAAAAATTATTCTAAGAAGAGTAAAATTCTTAAGAATAAGTAGCGATTTTTCATATATTGTTTCCAAGTCACTTTTTCTTTTATCTTCTATATATGCCATCCACATCTATTTTTTATTTTCCATTCAACAATTATTGTTTAATTATTTTAATTTATGACTTGTGAATATGGGATAGAAGAGTTGGATTTTTAAAATTAAAAGTTTATTATTATGTTTGTATACATTAATTATTAAAGAATGATTTTGAAAAAGAAAACAATAATTATATACCAAATTTATTTTTACTGATAAAATTAATTACTTTTTAATAAATGTGAAATTAATTATAATGCAAACTGTTCAGGTACACTCATGACTAAGGAGTTTATATACCTCACTTCTCTCAACACTTAAAACTATGACCATAAGAACTTCTAAATATTATCTCAGACATAATCAGAATTAATCTTATAAATATTATCAAAATAGATATGAAATCGAAACACTCTTATATAATATAAAATTTAATTAAAAAAAATGTAAGTTAATTAAAAATGTGCTACAATATTTATTTCATTAGCTGCTATTTTATTTTTTATTCTTTTAAAACTACATTAAGAGAGTATTTCGCTGTTTTTTTGTTCAGTATGCAAGGATAAATATTTTGAATAAATAATACTATATTTATCATATTGCTATAGACTTTATACGTAATAATTCATTCTACTAAAGTTATTATTAAAAATTGAAGAAAAATTGCCTAATATATTCTAAATGGAAAAAATAAATCGCTAAATAAAAAGTAAAAAAAAAAAAACAAGGGGGAATTTATAATAAATATTATAATTCTGTTAAGAGATAGAACAAATTATAATTTTGTCATAAATATTTTAAGGTCCTACTAAAAATGGTTCTGTGAGTGTACACTTTAAAGAAGTCTATCTAGAACTAAAGTTTTTTTAATCATGTGTCATCACTAAAAAAATCATATAATTTATTTTTTTGAGTTTTGACCATTTTTAATATTTATTCTTCCTTTCATATAACAAAACTCTTTAATGTCATTTATTTTTTTACCACAGTTGTCTTTTTTCATAAAGAAACACTGACAGTGTATTTGACTTTATTATTATTAAGAGTTAAGTCATCTTGTAATTAAGAAAGATCTATAATACACACTAATATAACAATGTGGCAATGCAATACTATTAGTGGAAGAAGAGGCTCATAAATTTGGGAGTAGTTTTATTGTACTAAAAATATTCCTCAAAAATTTCCTATAATTAACCATTGCTGACAGTTAGAAACGGACGGTAAAACACCAATCACCAAACTGAAACCCCCATTAATAGTCCCTATTATTATTTAGCTTCCTCCATTTTCCACTTTCACCATTAATCAACTCCTCGTCATTACATCAACACACACCAAGCAACCCTGCACGGCGAGGCGGCCACGCTCTTTCTAGGTTGCCTCCGCCGTCGATCACCACCACCCACACATCCAAACATACTCATCAATTCTTCTTCTTCTTCAACAAACAAATAAACACCATTCTCAATCATATATACATATTTATATATAGATACATGTAATAGGTGTAAATATATATTGAATCGGTCGAGTATATATATATATATTTATATACACATGGGAGAAGTGGAGCAACGAGTGCAGTTGCAGGAGGTAGAAACGAAGTTGCAGCAGCATATTGCGTTGGCGGAAGAGGCGTTGAATAAAAGGAAGCGTTGTTTGTCGAAGCAGCTATCGATGTGTGTGGCACCGAGAGACATTGCGTGGGAGAGAAAGAAGAAGCAAGAGGGGAGGACGAGGACGAGGACAAGGAGAAACAGTTTTCACGTCTGCGATGACGTCACCGACGATGACCTTCACGAGCTTAAAGGCTGCATAGAATTAGGGTTTGGTTTTAACGAGGAAGACGGCCAGACGCTCTGTGACACCTTGCCCGCTCTCGACCTCTACTTCGCCGTCAACCGCCAGCTCTCACCGGTCTCCACCCCTCATAGCCGCCCCTCCTCTTCCTTTGGCAGCCCCACCAATGCTCCTTCACAACCACCACCCGACTCTGATTCTTGGAAGATTTGTAGCCCAGGTCAGTTTTTTGTATAATACTTCATAATGTAATCATAAAAAGAGTATACTACAAGCGATGATCTCTTCCCCAAAAAAAAAAAAAAAATATATATATATATATATATATATATATATATATGCATGCATGCAACATTTTTTGCTTCTGTTCTTACTTCCAGAATGATGTATCCATCACAGTTTCATGTCATGCATGCATGTGTGTCATTACTGTGGCTGATTTCATGGCCATTATATATTATAGATGTTACGTGTTTCATCAGAGTGGTCCATTGATTGTTGAATTTGATGAAAATTTTGGTGATGTAGGGGACGACCCTGAACATGTAAAGACCAAGTTGAGGCATTGGGCTCAGGCTGTAGCTTGTTCTGTAATGCAGTCTCATTGAAGTGTGGAATATGATGTCTTGTACAGAGGAAGATATATTCTAGATATATGCACAGAAAAAGAGCAGGAAGGAAAATAACGGAAGCAGAAATCTAAAGAAAGTAGACAAGTCTCTGTTCTATTTTTCGTTTCTGAACAGGTCAAAAAAAAAAAAAAAAACTGTGCTACTTTCTTTGGGGTTTTTTTTGGAGCCAAACACACACAATTGTTGGCTCAGATTGGTTGGTTCAAATTGTTTGGTCTAATCAAATAACCCCTTTTTTCCTTCACCCTTTTTTAAGTTTTCATACATATATTTTTCGTACGTTCAAGTATGTCTCTCCGAGGTTTTTACGATTTTTTTTTCATGTGTACATTGAGCCACTCGTAAAAACTACAGCATATAGGGATTTGTCTTTCGTAATGATGCAACGGATGTCGTAAAATACGCTAAAACTATTCTTCCAAGTTATTACAAGCATGCAACAACGTCTGAAACATGAGTTATTATCAACTTAAACTCGGTTTCTCTTTAATGTGTATTTGGAGGAATATTGCCAAACTTAAATTTTAATTAAAACTAATTTCTTTTAGTTTTACCCTTGAAATAAATACTCAGATTATTTTGATACGTTTTAGAAGTTATTTAGTAGTAGAAAATACGAAGAATTAAAGAAAACTAATTTGTGCTTGAGTTGTTTTTTAAATTTGTATGATACAACTAAAAGACAAAGAAAAAGGAAAAATATAAGAAATGACCAACAACAAAGTTACATGTAAGAAGATAAGTCTTGTACATTGAATCATCATAAATGAGTGAGAACCATGTTAAGATTCAAACAAATGGTTAACTAAAAAGACCAAAAACAACAACAAGAAAACTTTAATATAACTCATTCTCCAATCTCTCTTTTAATGACTCTGCTTTTTCTTTTTGGGATTAGTAGTTTTCGATAAACTTCACTCAATTATTACAGAGAAAGTTCAAAAAGGGTAATCAAAAGTGTGGATTATCATAGCATTTCTCACAGTACAGAAGACTCAAATAAAATAGTAATATTAACATTATAATAGATATTGCATATGTAATTCTTATTGATGTGTTTGTAAAGTAGCAATAGGCGTTTTGTTTAAAGGGAAAATAGAAAATGAAAAGTAATTAATATGAAGAAAAATATCCTTTCCACCTTCACTCTCATATTTTGCTTTACACTTATATATTTGAAAAAGAAAAAGAAAAAATAATTTTATGATAAAAAATTATTATATATATATATATATATATCTAAATTATTCATAAAAAAACTAATTAATAAATATATATATAGTTTTGTAATTGTATAAATATATATTTTTAATTGAACACTTTTTCTTCTTTTTTATTTTAGTTTTCTCTCAAAAAAAAAAAAAAATATATATATATATATATATATATATGTTTTTTTTTTGTCACCGAAGGGACCTATGAGATCTTGGATCCCAATTTATGTGAAGCACAATTTGTTCAACACAATTCAAAATTTGATAAAAAATAGCTGTCTTGCCTTGATAAAGTTGAATACTATTAATGAATAATAATAAAAAGTATATAATTAAATGCTTTTAAATTTTAGAATATTTACTGTAAACTTTTCGTTTTTATTTCCTTTGATTATTATTTTTTATTGTGTTTCCTTTGTTAATTCATTCAACCGAACTAAAAGAATAAAAATTTATATCTCATTAATGTTATGTTAATGCTTTGTGAGTATAGGATAATATAATCAAAATCAATGTATTATATCAAGGTGACTTTTGTAGATATTCCACTCATAATCATATGCTAGGACTAATTTTTAATATCTCTAATTAATATAATCTTATTTAATGCTACAGATTTTTCTAATTTCTTTAATTATTATATCATCATACTTAAGGTTGCTATTTAAATATCGAATATAAACCCTAATTAATATATAATCATAAATGGCCTGAACTACCCAATAAGCATGCAACTCAAAATACCAACACATCCAAGTAAGTTAATAATTGAAGTCTTATTCAACCTTTGATTAATAGGTCTCTATGTTTTTTCTTTCTTAGATTATCTCTTGATGCAATTGAAGGGTCATTCCTCATAACTCTTATCCTTTTAAAGACCTTTCTAGATTTTACTGATGATATGCTAAGATTTTACCTTTCTAGATTAAAGTTATTTTAAATCTAGAGATTTAAATATAATACATTTTATTTTCAAAAACTTTGTCAAAAATAATTTTATGACTAAGGTATCCCTTCCACGTTCCTATACCTTATAAGATTTAAATATTACATTTATTTTTTCAAAATATACAATTTTCTCATTGAATAAAGAAATAAACCACGTTTTTTCTTCATTTTTATATTTTCTCTAAAACATATAATTTCTATGAAACAGTTTTTTATCAGAAAACTATTTTTATTATAGTTCTGCCTTGATTTTAAACATATGTACTCTAGGTCATAAATGTTTTTAAAAGGGTATTTATTTTTATAAATATGTTACTAAATTATTTTATTTTTATAATATATATATTTGTGCTCATAAATTATCCTCTCCACTGAGTATTGTTTATATAACGCTAAAAACAAACTTAGCTACACATCTGTCCTCTAATTTCTGACAAAGAAGAAACATTGATGAGTAGATACAGGAGAAAGCAATGTTGAAGCATTAAGTAAATCGAAGTGTATAGGAGTTGGCAATGCATGCATGCATGTTTATTACCTCGTATGAGAGAGTAACAACAACACAAATTGTAGGGGAATAAAATAATAACAAGGAAAGCTAAATATAGCTTAGACTCATTATATTGTTACAAACTCAAGCCACGCTGTAAGCAACCCAATTCATTCGATTACGATTCTTGCTCCCCACCGCCCATACTCAAGTAAGAAAAGGAAGAAAAAAATGTTCTCAATTTGTCATTATACAAGAAAGAGAGAAACTAGTTAACTTCATCTCCTCATCCTCCTCCACTTTCTTGCCTGGTTTGGAACCTCCAACCCAGGTGAGTGAGTCTTTGGTTGCTTTAATCGCCGTGGATGGTAGGAAAAATGAGTTGATTAGCATTCCTATCATCTTAGCACAAAGAAAAATAAAGAAGCCACGTTCATCTTTTTGGCGTACAGGAAAATATTATTATACATGTATACCACTGTAATCTAATCACCAACCGTTTTCTTGTACTGCCAAACGTGTTCTCCTTTTGGATTTTCCTTTTTTCTTGATCTTTCTTCAAGCATGCATTCACGTGGAAAAGGTCCCTTGCTTTCTCTTGTTTGTGTCCTTCTGTTGAATGGCATTCATGGTGCACTTAGTGAGGAGCCAGAGTCTTTGATCTTGGGTTCTGGATTGGATGAGGTTGCCGAAGATGGTGATGGAAGAAAATGGAGTCCTGATAAAAAGTTCTTGGAGACAAAAGGTGATTCAATCACAGCCAAAGCATCTTACCAAGACCCTTCTCTTATGTCCCAGATACCATACATGTCAGCACGTGTTTTCAAATCTGAGTCAACATACAAATTCCCCATTAAATCTGATAAGCGTTATTGGCTCAGGCTTCATTTTTACCCCTCTCTTTATGACACTTTCGATCCCACTAACTCATATTTCTCCGTGACTGCAAATGGTGTTACCCTCCTCACCAATTTCAGCGCCTCAGTCACTTGTGAGGCCCTCTCACTAGCATACATAGATAGAGAGTATTCCCTTGCTCCTTTGAATTCAGATTCCTTGACTCTCACTTTCCAGCCTTCTGATAAATACGACGGTGCATTCGCTTTTGTCAATGGCATTCAGCTTATCGAAATGCCCGATTTGTTTGATTCTGCATCATTGATAGGGTATGATGACCAAACCATAGATGTAAAAACATTGAATTTGCAAACCATGTTTAGATTAAACGTTGGAGGGCAGTTCATATCTCCAATCCATGACTCTGGACTTACAAGGATATGGTATGATGACACACCTTACCTTTATGGGTCAGCCAGTGGTGTGACCAACAAAGCTGAGAAGAATGTCACAATCAACTATCAAACCATGCCAGAGCATATTGCTCCTCATGATGTCTACTCCACATCCAGATCAATGGGGGGAGATCCAAATATCAACATGGGCTACAATCTCACTTGGAGCTTCCGTGTTGATCCCAGTTCCATGTACCTTGTAAGGTTACATTTCTGTGATTACCACTACTCCAAGATCAATCAGATTGTCTTCAATATCTTTGTCAACAACCAAACGGCACAAGCTCAAGCTGATGTGATTGGGTGGACAGGAGGCATAGGAGTGCCAATTTATAAGGACTACGTTATACATGTCGAAGATGGAAAGAGTAATGAGTTGCTCTGGCTTGCTCTCCACCCCGACCCAGACACACGGCCTGAGTTCTATGATGCCATACTCAATGGAGTGGAGATATTCAAGCTCAACGACACAGACTTATCTGCTCCCAATCCTCTGATTTCAGACATGCTTCTCAGAGAGCACCGGGAGGAGGAAGCGGGTTTCTTTACCCACAAATCTAGTCATCGTTCTGTGATCGGTGGAGCTGCTGGAGGTGCGGCTGGTTTTGCTTTTATGGCTGTAGTATGTGTTGCTATGTACAACAAGAAGAAGAGAGAACCAGGATCAGATGGTCAAACAGGCTGGCTACCCATCTATTCACGCTCTAGCAAATGCAGCAAGTCTGGCAGGAGCATGTGCAGTACCACCTTATCCGCCATGTCTCAAGGTCTTTGCCGCTATTTCACCTTGCAAGAGATAAAGCAAGCAACCGACAATTTTGATGAATCCAACGTCATTGGGGTTGGTGGATTTGGAAAGGTGTACAAAGGTGTCATTGATAATGGAACGAAGGTGGCAATCAAGAGGTCCAATCCCCAGTCAGAACAAGGAGTTGACGAATTCCAAACGGAAATTGAGATGCTTTCCAAGCTGAGACACAAGCATTTGGTGTCCTTGATTGGTTTCTGCGAGGAAAATGATGAGATGTGCCTGGTTTATGACTACATGGCTCTTGGCACCATGAGGGAGCATCTTTACAAGGGCAACAAACCTATGTCTACTCTATCATGGAAGCAAAGATTGGAGATTTGCATTGGAGCTGCAAAAGGGCTTCACTACCTTCACACCGGGGCAAAGTACACAATCATTCATAGAGATGTCAAAACAACTAACATTCTCTTGGATGAAAACTGGAATGCCAAGGTTTCAGATTTTGGCTTGTCAAAAACGGGTCCAAATATGGACCAAGGTCATGTTAGCACCGTGGTGAAGGGTAGCTTTGGCTACTTGGATCCTGAATACTTCAGGAGGCAACAATTGACTGAAAAATCTGATGTCTACTCATTTGGGGTTGTTCTGTTTGAAGCCCTATGTGCCAGGCCTGTCCTCATTCCTAACCTTCCAAAGGAACAGGTTAGTCTTGCTGAATGGGCATTGATTTGCAAGAAAAAAGGAACTCTAGAGGATATCATTGACCCTTGTCTCAAGGGAAATATCAATGAAGAAAGCTTGAACAAGTTTGTGGACACGGCAGAGAAGTGCTTGTCTGATCATGGTACTGATCGGCCCTCCATGAATGATCTATTGTGGAATCTTGAATTTGCTCTCAACCTGCAAGAAAATGTTAATGGTGAAGGTGGTTCAACTCAATCTGCTCAAGCGGAGAAAAGTGAGTTCGAAGATATAAGCTTGGAAAATGACATAGCACGCCACTATAGAAACTTGAGCCTTGGAAGTGACATTGACATTAACGACAATTCCACTGAGAATCAGGATGCCATCTTCTCACAAATTGTCAGTCCAAAAGGACGATGATGAGCTATATGCTCCGGACATATATGCTTGTTTTGCTGTAGAGGAAACAGATTCGGGTATTCTGGAATCCAAGCAAACCAAACCGGCTATTTTGAAGTTTTCTGGGATTTCTGATTTCTACTCTTTCCTCCTGGCTGTCATGATTTTTTATATTTATCAACATTAATTATTTTATACCCCATCTCTGTCAGTTTGTATGGACAGGCACTCAGATTACTTGATGCCTGTCAAATATTATTGAGACTGATTGTTTACTAGCATTGTACAAAACCTAACCTACACTTTTTCTACCCGTTTATCACTTTTTTGTTTTTTGCTTGTCAATTTCGAGTAGATTTATAGTGCGTGGGAAAATGCTGTCTAAAATATAGATGTTTGGTAGAAATGTCAGCTGTACAGTTCATAATATGAAGGCAAAAGTTGCATTCAATATAGTTCTAACTATTCAAATTTTAATTTTCTTCAACCTGAATTTAAACAGAAAAAACATTTATGACCGATACGAGAAAGGGGATTTACAATAATTCAGGGGCGATTTTATTGATTCCATGAAAATAATAATGTCACTATCTCTCTTCAAAGGAGATGCGGAAATTACAATTCTGTGTGGTTTGAATCATTATGCGGCTGTTAAGGGAGATAAGGACTCTCTTCCCCCGAAGGAGGTTTCAAATTCCAATCTATATCTTCCAGTTAGAACTGGCAAAGCTACCGAGGGATTTCCTTTGCATGGATATGAAATGAATTTTGTTACCAGATGAGAGAGACCCTCATGACCACAGTGGGCTACTTGGCAAGTTCGTATGCTTGGCCTTCATTCATCTTTTCTTCTGACCCCAATCCGGGGAATTGTCCAATATCATGACCTTCCAGTGGTTGAAACTCATGATTTAAACCAACAGCAAACTCTCCTGCGTCAGTCACGGGGCTTTGGAAATAGTCTGCAATCTGCTTAAAAAAGGTTCAACCCAATGTCGAATGAATAAGAAAAAAAAATTAAGCACTTCACTGTAGAGTAAAACTGAATTACTTAAGCTGAAGATGTCCAATTAACACTAAATAAATGTGGAGGCAAATGACAATAATTGACTTGTCAAAGTGAAAGTGGTATATACTTGGTTCGCTAGAGCAATTCCACTTAAGACAGCTGCCTCTATATTAGAACCTAGAAGCCAATCACCACATATCCCAGCCCTTCCAAGGGGATCAAAGATGCAAGGAACTCCAGGTGTATTAGTTGGAAGAGCTGCACCCCTGCAAATCTCAGAATAACAATTTTCAATGATTTAAATTTACATGCAATGTTCAAGCACAACCAATATGATATTTTAGATACTTGAAGATTGTTAAATATAATATCTCATCTAGTTTGTTGAGGATTGAGATGTGGCTTAGAACAACATAACAGAAGAAATCCTACTGAGGGAGCATACGTAATTAACAATTTTATTGTCAAGTGTTGAATATAGGGTTAATTTCCCTTATGTATTTACCACACATAGGGCAGTGTATTTATAATAAAGAAAGGTACTCCTCAAAAGAGTAACAGAATACAAATAGGGTAAATAAAAAGATATTATTTGATATTGTGATTAACAATATCTAACAATATCTCAACAATATCAAACAATATCAACTAATATCTAATCATATCTAACACTCCCCCTCAAGTTGGAGCATACAAATCGTATGTGCCTAGCTTGGTACAAAGATAATCCATCCTAGGTCCCAGTAAAGACTTAGTGAAAATATACTGCTAATTGATCACATGAGTTAACGAACTCGGTCTTGATGTCTCCAGACATAATCTTTTCCGAATAAAATGGCGAGTCAATCTCAATGTGTTTAGTTCTCTCATGAAAGACAGGATTAGAGCTTATATGGAGAGCAGCTGATTGTCACACACTAGTGTCATTTGAGTGACATCTCCAAATTGTAGCTCTTTAAGCAATTGCTTGAGCCAAATAAGTTCACGACTAGGCTGAGGCCATAGCTCTATACTCGCTTCTGCACTGGATCTTGCCACAACACTTTGTTTCTTACTTTTCCATGAGATCAAGTTACCACCAATGGAAATACAATACCCGGATGTAGATCTTCTATCGGAGGGAGATCCTGCCCAATCGGCATCCGAATAGCGAGACAACTCTTGTATGATTATGGGAGTCATACACCAAACCTTTTCCAGGAGACTTTTTGATGTACTTCAATATACGGATGACTCGCATTCCAATGATCTTGACAAGGAGAATTGAGGAATTGACTCACCATACCGACTGCAAAGGAAATGTCAAGGCGAGTAAGCTGTAAGATAATTTAATTTTCCAACTAATCTTCTATACTTGTTCGGGATCCGACATTGGCTCCCCCGATTTGGCAAGAGTTTGGTATTAGGATCCATGGGTGTGTCAACGAGGCTTTGAATTCATCAACCCAGTTTCCTCCAAAATATCCAATGCATACTTTTTTTGAGATATAACAATGCCATCGGTAGATTGTGCTACCTCAATACCCAAGAAATATCCGAGTTTGCCAAGATCTTTGGTTTGAAAATGGTGGCAAAGGTGTTGTTTCATCCGAGAGATGCCATGATGGTCACTACCTGTAAGAACAATGTCATCGACATACACTATCAAATAGATACATCCGAGCATTCGAGTGACGGTAAAAGAGCGAGTGGTCTCGCCTCACTTCTAGTCATGCCAAATTGTTGAACAACGTTGCTAAATTTTCCAAACCAGGCCCTAGGAGACTGTTTTAGGCCATATAAAGATTTGCGAAGACGACATACCAATCCGGAAGACTCCCCCGAGCAACAAATCCGGGAGGTTGCTCCATATAAATCTCTTCTTGCAAATCGCCATTCAAGAAAGCATTTTTGACATCCGAGTTGATAAAGAGGCCATTGTTGAATAGCGACCATGGCAATGAATAAACGAACGAAGTCATCTTTGCCATCTGGAGAGAAAGTATCACCATAATCCAACCCAAAAATTTGGATATAGCCTTTGGCTACAAGGCGAGCTTTGAGGCGATCAATAGTACCATCGGGACCAACCTTGATAGCGAAGACCCACCGCAACCAACAACAGATTTTCCAGATGGTAATGGGACAAGCGTCCGGGTTCCACTAGTCCGAAGAGCACCGAGTTCATCTAGCATGGCCTGACGCCAACCAGGGTGGGCTAAGGCTTCGAGAGACAGATTTAGGAATAGACACGGAAGAAATAGACGAGAGACAGGTATAAAATGGTGAAGAAATTCGATGATAACTTAAAGCGGTATAATGTGGAGAAGGATTACGAGTAGAACGCGTACCTTTACGAAGGGCAATAGGAAGGTCGGACTACGTGGACGGAGCCGGAGGAGGCGAGTATTTGGCACTGGGAGTGAGTCATGTGGCGTCTGTTGTGGGCGAGGTCTGCGACTATAAACCTGAAGGGGTGGTGGAGGAGGAGGGGCTAATGGTGGATGGTCCTCAACATAAGGATCAATGAGAACAGGAATGAGAACTGTAGCGAGATGGAGACTCAGCAGGTAGGGAAGGGTCCTTAAAGTAAAAGGAACACTCATTGAAGGTGACATCGGCGAGACACAAAATAGCGATTAAGAGAAGGAGAAAAACACTTGTATCCTTTTTGGGATCGAGTAAATCCTAAGAAAACACATTTGTGTGATCGAGGAGATAACTTATCATGACCAGGATCAAAATTGTGGACAAAACAGGTAGACCCAAAAACCTTCGAGAGGTAAAGGATGGAGAGTGTCATGAGGAAATAAAATAGAATGGGGAATTTTGTTATCTAAAACCGAAGAGGGCATACGATTAATAAGATAACGAGCGAGTAAGAACGACATCACCCCAAAAATGTTGAGGAACCTCACCATGAATTAAAAGAGTACGGGTTGTTTCAATAAGGTGTCTATTCTTGCGCTCGACCACCCCATTTTGTTGAGGGGTATAAGCACGGGAAGTTTGATGAAGAATGCCATGAGAAACCATAAATTGTTTAAACGAGTTTGAAAGATATTCACGGCCATTATCACTTCGAAAAGTTTGAATAGAGACACCAAATTGATTTTTAATTTCATGATAAAAGTTTTGGAATATAGAAAACGACTCGAACGATTTTTCATTAAAAATAACCAAGTACAACGAGAGAAATCATCAATAAAAGTAACAAAATATTGAAAACCTAAATTAGACTTAACACGACTTGGGTCCCCAAATGTCGAGTGAACTAAGGCAAAGGGGGATGAAGCACGCTGGGAAACACTACGAGAAAAGGAAGTACGACTATGTTTGCCTAACCGACGGGACTCACACACCAAATTGGACAAGCTGGGATAAGGCTGGGAACAAGTTCTCGTAATTTGCGCAGATCAGGGTGACCAAGCCGAGCATGAAGGAGAGAAGGAGACTCCATAAGCGTGCCAACATGTGGAGAAGGTTGAAGATAATAAAGTCCATGTGACTCACATCCGGTGCCAATCACTCTTTGCGAGCTCCGGTCCTGTAGGGAAACGAAGTTTTGGTAAAAGAGATAACACAATCAAGAGATCGAGTTAGACGGCTAATGGATAATAAGTTAAAGGGGGACCCGGGTACATACAAAACATTATCAATGGACAACGAGGGAAAAAGAGTAATCGTTCCAATACCATGAGCTAAAGTTGTAGACCCATTAGCCATTGTAACGAGAGGGTAAATTATGAGAAGAAGTGAAAGAGGAAAATAAGGATTTGTTACCAGTGATGTGATCGGTGGCGCTGAGTCAAGAACCCAAGGGCCAATAGAAGAAGAGTGAGTCGGACCAAGCAAAAGATGTACTCGTGTGGGCAACGAAGTAGTGGAACTGGAGGGCTTTCGATCCTCATACCATTGAAGAAAATCATTGAAGATAGCGGATTTGTTCGAAGGTACAGACGAAGGAGGATCCACAGCAGAGGATTGTGCGGAAGAATCGGTCCGAGCAAGCTGCAGCAAATCGGCGAGGATAACCATGTAAAGCATAACATTTGTCAATTTTGTGGCCTAGTTTGCCACAATGGTCACACTTGACACGCCCTTTGCCTGGCTTGTGAGAGCGATTACGATCATCACGGTGAGAGGCCAAGGCGGATGAATCATTAGAAACTACAGGGGGAATATTGAGAGGTTTACATGGCACCCGCAAAAGGGAGGAACTGGTAGCGGTAAAGCCGGGTGTAACAGGGGAACCCAAAATGCAGTCACGAACAGGGGCATATTTATCGGCAAGTCCGTGTAACATCAAAACCATGAAAAACTTTGATCGTTGCTCTAATTCTTGGGCGGGAGTCGAGGCAGGGGGTAATAACTCATTAAATTCATGGAGAAGAGCATGGATCTTACCCACATAATCCGCCACAGGATCCTTATCTCGAGGAGCAATAACATCAAGAAGATTGTAACAAACACCATAAAGACGTTGAGTGTCATTGGTGTATAATAATTTGGCTTGTTCCCAAACGTCATAACATGTGCCATACGATCGAAAAATTTGTTTTAAAGAAGATTGGATGGTATTCTTGAGAACCATACATATATGAGCATCAACTTTCTTCCAACGGACACGATCATTGGAAGGAACATCATCTACCTTGGTAGTAAGATGATCAACATACCCACGACTCTCAAGCCAAAGTCTAATATCGGATGCCCAAGTTGCATAATTCGTACCATCTAATTTATCAATGGGTAAATTCACATTGACATAATTAGTAAAAACAGATTGCTCGGACCCACCGGAGTCGACGGAGGTAACTTCGAGATTGGAAGTGGCGGCGGAAGATGCCATGGAGGAAGAGAGAGAAAACCCTAAAACACCAAAGAGGTCCGATTGGAGCGGCGAGGACAGATCCGAGAGAGAGGAGAAGGAGGCGACGCCGGCGCAAAGATCGGCGGCCCGAACGGCGGCGGAACGGGAGAAGGGGGCGCGGCTCGGGAGGCGCATGAGGGAGCGTGGGCTGCTCCGATGACCGCGAAACTTCCACGGTGGAGGTCGCACGGAGGAGGCGAGCAAAACCACTGTGCTCGGCGGTCCGAACCGCTACTACGCGGCGGCGGCGACGGCGGTGGCGACGGCGGCGGCGATGGAGGCGGCGACAGCTGCAGATTCAGTGGCAGAGCCGAAAAAAAAATCCCAAGAGACCTTAAGCTCTTGATACCATGTTGAATATAGGGTTAATTTCCCTTATGTATTTACCACACATAGGGCAGTGTATTTATAATAAAGAAAGGTACTCCTCAAAAGAGTAACAGAATACAAATAGGGTAAATAAAAAGATATTATTTGATATTGTGATTAACAATATCTAACAATATCTCAACAATATCAAACAATATCAACTAATGTCTAATTATATCTAACATCAAGCAACTGAACCCCTTCCCAAATGGCAGGCTCTGCCCTAAAAAAAATTGGCATTAGTATTAACATCCTCCTCCAAAACAAAAATATCCCTTATCATTTATGGCCCTTTCTTTTAACTTGATTAGTCCCAAGTAAGCTGATTCAAGTAAACTGCTAATTCATTCTTTCCACTTTATTAAACCATCTTGTTTTATTGTGCTGTTCCGTTCTTCTTCTTATTATTAACCCAGTTACTTCATGCATAAACTACACATGCAAAATACATAACGTGAAAATCCTAGTTCATTACCTACCTCCTAACTTGGGCAAACAAAACTATGAAAGGACATTTCAAACCAACCAACACAATACTTCCAAGATACGATCATTACCATAGCTGAAGTCTGGTATACAAAGGTTTCGGAAGAGACCCTTTTGGTAATCCAAGGGCAGCTTCAACACCCTCTAGCATTCCTGCCTTTACCTTTGCTGCTGTAGCAGAAGGGATATTTTCCTGATAAATAGTGGGTACAAAGCCCTAATTAGTGCAGGTTATACATATTCATAAAGAAACCCTAGTGAATGCATGACAATACAAAAGGACATAAATAATCAAACCCCTTTCAAGTTTACTTTTAGGAATGATGAACAATATATCATCTTTAATAAACAAAATCCCTCGAAACAAATAAAAAGTACTGAGAGTAGCTAAAGCCAATCTAACACTTGTAATCTAATTCACGGTATATGGTTTTGAAAAGTCCAACACCAACCTGTGGAACCTTATTCTGTTTTCCATAAGCAGCAGAGCTCAGAAAGGTCCAACAGTGAGGACCACCACTCTGGGAAATCAGTAGCTTCTTTGTATTATTGGCCATCCATGACACTGAATCAACTCCTCTCACAAAAGCTCCTTCGAAAGGAACTTCTGTGCTTCCTGAAAAAGGAAGAGGGTCCTCAAATGCTGCTAGAAGGGCCCATATTGAACTCAACTCCAACCTCTTGACACATAATTAGGTAATACAACAGAAGCAAGGAGCATGAGATGCATAAAGCAGTGTCTTAACAGTAAATGAAAGCTGAAAAGTGTACTGGTCTATCAAATCAAATGAACTGAACGGGGCATATCATGGACCAACCTTCATTTGTTTCGCAACTAATGGTAATCCCGATGTCATAAGCAAACGATTGGCACATTTTCCTATCGACAAACATAGTTACAATGAGCAGCCAAAAACTGTACAATTTTCAGTTAATAATGCAATTTTAGAATAGTAATCCAACTAAATTAAGTCTACATTGAAATCAGTTAAGCAAAGGATGCATAGCTAAGAAATATTATGGTCAATATGGAAATATCAAGTTACCATTGTGGGCAATAACAATGGCATCGAACTTGCCACAAGGCTTGCCATTTTCACTCAAGTGCCACATCCCATTGAACGGCTCCAATTTACTGATCCAGCATGGCCTCACCACATTAACCAAGCGAGTCTGCACAATTCACAGCAGGTAGTAACAGCAGCAAAACTGGAATTACAATCACTAACTTAGGCCTTTTTAAATAAGTACGTATGGGAGAAAAAGGTAGAATGCAAAATAAATTAAAGTCTATTTAGATAAACTTCTTGTATACTCTTAGGAAAAGGAACAGGAAGGTAGATAAATTTCTTTATAGATAGACTAATTTGTGAAGAAATTCTCATTAACTTCTCTCAAAATTGACATTATATTACCATTTTCTATCCTATTTTGTTTACTTACAAGTGTTTACCGGAAAGTTTATGCAACAAATTTTTAAATTTCTTCCGAAAGTTAGAACATATCATAAATTAATTTATGAAAACTCTCTAATTAAACTAATGGAAATATTAACTTGCATGAGATAACTTTAACTTAAAAAAAATAACTAACTTTAATTTCATATTTTCTTCTCGTGTTTAACAAAACAAAGTTTTAATCTAATAGGAGTAATGCAATGAGTCACCTGAGACAGTAAAGAATCAGCAAGGAAGCGCATTCCATTGGTGGCTACATATCTCGGAGGAGAGGATACAAACGGAACAAATTCACCACCATTGTGAAGCTCTCCAACGGTACCCGGCCACTCGCGCACTAAACCCTTGTCCATCCAACCGTTGACGAGTTCGGCAAAGCGAGAATCGTTAACGGTAAAGAACTGAGCCGCATGATCGAATTTTAACGGATGAGGATCGACGACTCTGGTTCCCAATCTTCCTCCGAGACCGTGAATACCCTATAACAACGTCGTTTAGCTTTGGCAAAACAAAATGGTGGAGTGAAGTAGGATTTAGGGGAGAAGAGACTGACGGTATCGAACACGGTGGAGCGAACGCCGCGAGTCTCGAGGAAGAGGGCGCATATAAGGCCGGAGATGCCGCCGCCGATGATGGCAACGAGGGGGTCGTCGGAGAGAGGAGCAGTGAAAGTGACTTGTTCTTGACTGAAGGATTTCTTCAGAATAGACCTTCTAGAAGTTCCATACGACGATTTCCTGCGGATTTTTGTTGAAGGGCGTTTTTGCCCTTCCATCGTCACCGTGCCACCGCTGCAACCACAAACACGTGTGGAGGGTCGCCACGGAGCAAGCGGTAATAATACATTCAAGCTCTTCACTGTACTCACACCAACCATGCTTCCAAGGTCTGAACCTAACACCAATTCTCCATTTTTCATTCACCCTCATCCATTTATTTTATTTCTCTAAAACATGGATATTAAAAATTAAACCAAGCTGCAATTTGGATAACGTTATTTCTTTCCCTTCTTGTATTAGCGGTGCTTTTTATTTTTCTTCCATCGCAAAACACAGTTCAAACTACGTAAGTTTTCAGCTTAACTTCGTAGTTTTTACTCCCCACAATCGTCTTCATCAATAATTTTCAAACGAAAACAAAAATCATTCGTATAATATTTCATTTGTTTGATATTAGATCATTGTGCCATATTTATGATACACTATATTTTTTGATGGGTAATTATAATTTTGTTTTAAAAATTATTACCACTTTTATATTATTTAAGGAAAAACCCAGTGTTTGTTAGATTTTTAACCAAAATTTGACCTGAAAACAAAATTAACTTTATAAATTGTTCAGAATACAGTGCATTTGTTTTATCAGCTTAAAACACATACAAAACAGGATGTCGAACACTAATTATCAGTTTGTGTGTACTCATTTTTAAATTAATAAGAATTCTATTTATTTTAATAAACAAAACTTATTTGTTTCTTAAATAAATATTTTTTTGAGAATCAATTTTTCAAAAATAGTTATTTTAAATTTTAAAAGCTCACTGAATATTTATAATAACAACAATAAAAAAAACAGATTAAAGCTGAATATCCATTGCTTTTAACAAGTATCACTGGATCAAGATGTTTATTCTCCTATTACTACCTATACCAATGTCAAATACTGAAATACAGTTTTATTACCACCTAAAACAGAAAGACACTGGACACACAGGAATTTAGCATTGATAAAATAATTTATAGATCCTACCAAAAAGGATATATTTCATAAAATTTTCCTTACCGAGTCTGAAGCAATCTGAAGAACATCAAATTTCGTACATATATCTTACATCAATAACTATTTATATATATATATATATGTGTACCGATATAACTTACAAAACATATACACTTCCAAGTTAAAAACAAAACACATAAAAATGTCAGTCAGGATGAAAAGAAAATTAGGCCATCTTTTCTGCAGAGTATCCAAACGGTGTGACGAAGGAAAATGAAGGCTATTTTCCTCTCAGCTGGAGGTCAGTAAAATCTTGGGAAGCTCATGATTGGACTGATATGTCGGAATTTTTCTGCTCTGTGATTTTAGGAGGAGCTGTTTCCTTATTCAGTTTTGGTCGTTCTTTGGTTTTGGAAGTGCCATTGCTGTTTCGTCCGTTGACCTCCTTAGTTTTGTGAGTGGCAGGGGTACCATGTTTCAGGTTACTGCCCATACTGCGGCGTCCTTGAATACACATGCCTGACGGTACATTGGCAGCATCACCACAGCTCTTTCTCCGGGAGAGGTTTGGTGACTTGGGGCAAGTCAGTGGCAGCTGCCATCAAAGGAAAGGGGAATGAGGAGTTTTTCTATCTGCTGACCATTAGAAACATTTGGAAAGAACTTAAAATGACATGATCATGACAAGCAAGGGCAATGAGGTATTTCATGAATGTGGTGGCATAGCGAGGAAGGCTCTTCACTGAACTCAGACAAGAAATAGTACCAGAGCCCGTAGGTGTCTATACCACTGTCAAATTAGCACCCCTGACATTCTCATACATTTTAACATTCCTATCGAATTACTCCTTTGGTCTATTCAAGCAAATTCCGAAATTCTTAAAGGCAATTTATATTCATGCAGAGACTTGGAGAAGAAAGAGAGAGAATAAAAGACTACCTTCTTGAGTTCAGTCTTGGGGGGTGGCCCCTCGTAGTAGAAGCTTGGTACTGGTTTTGCCTTAATGACCAGGTTCTTTCTCAATTGTTTAATGGCAGCATCATCCTCTTCCTATATAGGTTATTATTATATAAACAGAAAAGTTATTTAATCAAATCAAAACACAAAGTTATACAAGTACATGGCCGTGAAACTAGGCTAGGATTTGGCTAAAGTGATTAGATGTCTCCAGCACAAGGGAGACAAGGAAAAACAAAAGGTGAAAATAATAGCCACACACGAGTGTGCAGCATGCTGGGTAAAGATCGATATACCTTTTTCCTTGCCTCATACTGGCATTTTTCTTGTTCAAGAGCCCGGTGCTTCTCCTCTAACTTCATATAAAACTGGAAAGATATATCAAAGTGGAAATAAGAACCAAAACCACAAAATAGATACCAAAATTGCCAACCAGGAATACAAACAACTCCTGAGTATACATCAGAATAAAAATTCAGTAAAATAATACCTCTTTCCGTTTCTCTGCACGGTCGGAGCATCTAAAGGTAGGGGCTGAACCAACAGTTACCTTAGATTTGGCAGTGCGTGCAGATGCCACACTACTAATTATTGTTAAAGAACAAAAATATTAAGTGTCGTATTTTATTTAAATATAGGTAAATGTATCTCTATTTGGGGGTTCCAAATAGGGTTTATTAAAATTTCATAAAGGATCTGTATCGTATTTAGTATGGAAGATTCTAATTTTTTTCAAGTATACCTAAAAATTGATCTGTTCAAATAAACAAAATGTTCCAAGTTTTGAGGATACGAGGAAGCAAGAGACCAATTATCTTCATCATCATGGTGCTTCTTATCACAATGCAAGGACTTCCTTGGTGAAAAAGGTGAGGTTGGCTGCAAAAGAAATGGAAGAGATTTCGCATATCAGTAATCTCATTAAACACACTCAACATTCTATCATACAAAAATAGCAATACATGCAAAATTGCAAAGCATCCCTACAAGACATATACTCAGGTTAAGGCCTTCAGGTAAATCCTCCACACTGAATTTCTAGCAAATGAGAAAATTTTCCAAACTAAATATTTCTTATTGGGTTTGGTCGCAAGTTTCACCAAGTCAAAGGTTCAAGAAATTTTAAGACATTCAATATAGATTGAAATTGTATGTATTTATTGGTATGGATGTATGGTATTATGAGTTTCCCAACATCTTTTATACAACGATAGCATTTAAAAAAGTGACCCAGAGCAACCCATCAAATGTAATCTCTTGATTCTTTCTTCAGAGGTTAGCAGGTATGTGTCGGTCTAATTATTTAAAAGATGGCTGATAAACTACCTAAATTGTGTTTTATAAGGAGTCTCAGCATAATTACCTTTTTAAATTGTGACTGCAAGGAAAATAAATCTTTGTTCACAAACATGCATCATGCAAATAAACATTCATTAAAAACAAAAATAGATCCTAGTTCTGCTACTCTAAAACATATACATCATCATTTCCTCTAGTTATTGGAAACAATCCAACATAATCATACACAATTAGGACCCAAACACATACTACTCGGTACTCACAAAAGAATTCGGCAGCTCAAAAATCAAATTTTAAAATATAATGAAACAGTACCTCTGAATTCTTAGGGGAATTAGGGGAGTGTATATTGTTAGTTTTGGGAGACAAGTTCAGACCAGTTGCAGCTGCTTCAGTATCAACATCCAGTGCATGGGTGACATGCCTTTCAGTAATCTGATCAGATGGTTGCGGAGAAGAGGGGCTTGGAAGCTCTTTATCTACAGCAGGCGAACTTAACTCTTTACTGTCATCCATCTTCTGTACTTCAGATTTCTCATTTTTCTCTTCTGGAAAGACAACATTTACTTTCGTGCTTTTGCCACTTGAAACATCTTTCCTGTCGTGATGTTTCTCAAAAGAATTAGGCTCAGCAGATTCCTTTATGTCATGATCCATTGCTTGAACCATTGCCGCAATTTTGGGAGAAACACGCATTCTATCACTTAAACTACCATTTGAAGCTGCTATGGCACCATTTGGCTTCTTGTCCATAACCTGTAAGCCAGTAACTTCCCTTCCCATGATGCTGCATGATATAAGTTGCAGAATAAGTAACAAAACAATTTGAATAGGTGGCTGATGTTGACAAAGAAAATACACGACTTTGACAAACAAAGAAGAAAATTAAATGTCTACTACAACAAGAATATATTGAGATTGATGTATAAACATTCTGAAACAACAGGCAAACATATGAAGAAAAGAACATGAGGCGGGGAAGGGAAGCATCTCTACATATCCCAAACCTCAAGGGTCAAGACGAACTATGTCTACTTTTTTTTTTTGCCCATCCCATAACAAATCAATTTCTTCAAGGGGAATCTACTTATTTCAGGAGTAAGGCTTGGATATACAAAGAGCATATTAGGGATGGTGTGAGAGATGCTAATCCCCATCACTCCATCCTTAATAAAAATAATCTTAACTCTATATATAAAACCAAATGGTCATGGGCACCCCACACACCTATACCTGAATCACTACAGTGTCAGAACTAGTTCCCTAATATTTGCCACCCCAAACCTAGAAAGAACGATGGGTATGAAAAAAATAATAATAATAAAAAAAAGAGAGGAATGAAAGATACAAAAATATAATTACAAAACAACAGATCTAAAAAGGGAAAAAGGGAACAGAGATATTTCAAATGGAAAAGAAAGGTAAAAACACATAGAACGGAGGTATGGATATGGAAAAAAACTCCAATATAAGAAAAAAAAAAGTAAATGAATTATTAGCTATTGATTTATGGATATTCTCTTCATGAAAGCTCAAAATCATGCGACCCAAAAAATTCAGGAGGGTGCACAATTCGCTAGAATACAGGAAAAAAAGGATGATTTATTCCAAATAAGCTTGAAAATAATACATCCTGTGGCCCAAGCGAAGCTTGGAATTAATCTCGAGCACAGCAGAAAAAAATATGCAGAAAACTACCTTGCTTGAAAAGAAAATTGATTTTCTAGCAGATTCAGTTCGTATGAGTATATCATTTATATAAATTTGGCCATTTCAACAACCACTCTGAAACCTTTTTATTTTTTATTTTAAAGGGAAGAAAAAAAAACAACTTTGAATGCGTTTTGACTTGTAACAGGAGAAAAGAGGTAAGAGAGGCAAGATTCCGGGAATAACACGCATGCAAATTTGAACGGAGCCCAGAAAAATCAAAAAGGCAATTACAACGTGGTCCAAGGACGAAAAAAAAATGCACAAAATCTATTTGAATGGAAATAGAAAGAAATAATAAGAAAGTCCATTAAGACATCGCTTTTGGTTTCGATTAACTAACAAAAACAGGAAAATAACATAAAATAAGCATGAAAATAACAACAAAATAGATCTCCGAAATAGGAAAAAGATGGAAATGCACATTGCAGAGGAAGATAAGAGGTGTGGAAGAAACAAACCAAAATCTGGGTGGCAGCAGCAGTTTCGTTCCGATCTGACAAGATCTCGCGACTCAAGGTCCCTTTTCTTTTGTGTTTCCCCTTCTTTCTCTCCTTCGTGTTCGTTTTGTCCTCTGTGGTGGTAGCTACGTGCGAAATCCAAAATTTATGTATGATTATTCCTCCTTTTCTTTAGGCAAGTTTTTTTCTTTTTCGATTATTAGTGTTCCTTCGTTGGTTATTTATAGCCATTGCATTTCATTCTCGTGTGGTTTTTAGTTTTCATTTCATTTAATTTATTTCTTCATTTTCACCGTTTGCGACGGTGTTAAAATGACACTGAGACTTGAAGAACGTGACGTTGGAGTCAAATGGAAAACCCCCCTTCTCACCCCATTTTTCATCCAATCCATAATAAGGTGCACAAAATGTGAGACACGCAAAGGACAACATAGACACGTGTAGGGTCCTGTGTGGTGAGAACTCGCAACCTCTATGACCCCATTCTTAAGGACTATCCCTACCAAACTAAGGACCTCATAAATTTCCCACACAAAACATTTAATTTTGTGCTCTCTAAGTTTATTTATATTATTTATTAATAAGAAATTAAAACAAATTATAACATTTCAAAAAAATTCATTTAACTTATCATGCATTTTATTTTCATCGTGCTATTATAATATATGGAATATTGTTTCTATAATAATTTTGTACGACTAAAAAAAGGACGAATTTAAGATATGATAAATGATGTAATGACGAAAAATGGACGCAAATAATTATATTACGCAAATTGTTAAAGTGAGTTGGCGTACCAACTCATTAAAAAAGTACTACAAAATTTATCATTATGTTTTATCTTAATTACGTCTAAATTTTATGTGTGAAATATAGTTTAAAATATAAAATATTATAAAAACTAATAACCATTGAATCCGCTTAATACTTAACATTTAAGAAATGAGCATAAATTTCATGTTTGATTTATATTTTATTTAATGATTTTATCTTTTGTAGATTTTAATAATTCTGGTGATAAAAAAAGTGTCCTTATAATTGATATTAATTGTGAAAGTTCAAATAGAAAGTGTAGACAAATTAATTAATTATGGACATTGTACTAGTTTAAATAAATTATTTGACCAAATAATCATCCATTACTGTGAAAAGTTCTATCATAAGATAATTGTAGAGAATTTAATCAATTATGAACAATCCATTGTACTAGCTAAAATAAATTACCTGACCAAATCATCCACCACAATAAAAGTTCAAATAAAAAGTGGTGGAGAATTTAATTATCTATATTTATATAATAATTTTATTTTTCCTTCTATATTTGGGGCAAATATAATAATCATTCACTAGAAATACATCTTCAATTATTAAAAAAAATATCAAAAGAAGTAAATAATTAATTTAATCCCTAAAGTTATATCTTATTGTCATAATTAGTCCTTCAAAATCTACAAAAATAAAATACAAAATTAAATAACATTAATATTTCATTAAAGATTGTACATTTTTCTCACATCGATTCTTATTAGTAACTTGAGTGACAATAATATAAATTTAAAATCAAAATAAGAAAATAAAAAGTTTAGAATGAATTAAATTGTAAAAAATATTTCAGAACCCTATTTCAATAAATTTAACCTAACACAAGAGTCTTCTCAGGGAAAATCATGAATCGTGGTACTTTTTTTAAATGTGAACTACTTTTTTTGGCAATTACTCAAAGTTTCAATCTTCTTTAAAAATTGGATGCTTTTTGCAAAGTCAAAAATATTGCACCGTTGGTGTAGAAAACTTAGCCTAAGCATTTAATTATATATCCCCTCTAACACGCGTCACAGTACAACCATAGTACCCTAAAGTCATTCAATTATTTTATAATTAACATCTCATTGCACACAAACCCTTTGGTTTAAGACACATCATTATGATGTCATGATTATAACCTAGATGAAGTTTCAACATAACACGGTCAAAGTCGTACATAAGAATTAGGGTATGGTTCATTATACTTAATTTATCATAAAATGGGACATGCTATGTGTTCTATAGGTTATAGGAGTAGCTATAACCTAGTTTGTGTTAGTGGCTTTGGACATTGATTTCCAATCTTTTTCCTTTCTTGGTCAACACACAATGGTGTGTAGAAGAATTTATGAGTTATATATGGTGGTAATTAAGAAAGTACATTTTCAGAAATAGTCTTAAAAATATATATAATGTTTGTTCTCTTAATTATCATTTTTTTATATGTTACTAATTTTATTCAAAGGAATAAAATGGTAGTAGTAGAAGCTCCTACGTTAAAATGTTCCATATTTTTTTAAACCATTTTTTTTAATTTTATTTTGTTTTTTTTTCTTCTATTTTTTTAAAACATACCTTACCTTTTCTTCTCCTTATTGAACATTTTATTTTATTTTTTTCTTAATGGGATTAAAAGGGTTATAATTTATTTATTTTTTCCACTTTTTAGATTTATTTTATATTATTTATCGTTATTTATTTATAATATTTTTTCTTTTCTGAATATATATACAAACTGTTATAAAAAGAAATAAAAAAACACGTTAAAATAATCGTGTATCCACAGTTTTTTTCTAATATTTAAAAAAAATATGATTTTATTTTTCTCACCATACTCCTTAAATATACCTTGTCCTCATTAATTGTTTATCATTTTTTTTCGTATTTTTACTTTTTTCAAAATATATAAATCATAATAATTGTTTATTCTTTAAATTATCACACCTTTTATTTTTTTTATTTTCTTTATATATACTAATAAAAACACATAAAATAAAACAGTTGTGTATTCATTTTTTTTTATAATTAATTTCTTTTTAAATATATATATATATATATATATATATATATATATATATATATCTCTTTTTCGTATCTTCTTGTGTACACGTGTATTTATATTTTGTATATAATTAATTTATTTTAAATTTTATTTTCTATATATTTAATTTTTTTAATTTTTTTTTACTATTTTTAAATATATAAATCATAATAACTACTTTTTCTTTAAACTATAACATTTTTTATTTTTTTCTATCGGATAAAAAAATTACAAAAAAATATCTATATATAATTATAGATTATATATATATATATATATATATATATATATATATATATATATATATTCTCTTTTTCCTATCTTCTTATGTCCATGTGTATTTATATTTTTTATATAATTAATTTATTTTAAATTTTATTTTATTTTATATTTTCATAATTTAATTTTTTTAATTTATTTACTATTTTAAAATATATAAATCATAATAACAACTTTTTCTTTAAACTATAACATTTTTTATTTTTTTCTATCGGATATAAAAATTACAAAAAATATCTATCTATATATATATATATATATATATATATATATATTAGTAGTGTCAATATTTTATATATGATTAATTTATTTTTTTCATTTTTCAAATGTATCATTTTTTCTTGATTAATTAGTATTATACATTTTTATTTATTTTGTATATCTATCATTTTTTAAATATGCATATTATTAAAATAATTTTTAAAATTAGTATACTTCTATTTGAAAAAAAAACAAGTTAAAAAAGAATATATAGAATATAGATGCAAGAAAGAAAAATGTAGGTTTTATTATTGAAGCTTGTTTAAAAGTTTTATAAGACAAATTTAATCTGGTGCATACCCTCACTTTCATGTCTTATAATCGTGCACCGACTATATTGTGTGACGCAATCTTCGGTCCCATAGATACTGATTCGTCCAAGTAGTTCTCACCATAAGTTTGGACTTTTATTTTTATTTTTTCTGTGGGGTGCACGTTTATTATATATGTAAACTATATACAACGAATCGTAATCAAGACAAGACATGGAATCTTAACATATAAAAAAGATTAGTCAAATGTGTCAGCAAAATGATAAATTTTACCAAGGCTGATCCAAGAAAAGATGTAGACCTAACTACCACTTCTCATTTTCACTCATTCTCAACTTTCATCAACTTGGATCATAACAACAAATCACTACACAATTGCATCACAAACCCTATGGAATTTTCTCACAAAACAAAACCTATTGGATCCCCCAATCACATATTATCATAATTGGGAGTTCATACCACACAAAATTTCGATAGATTGCCATAAATCATCGTCATTTTGTTGGGGAAGATTCCACACTTCCATCAACAATTAAACGTGGCTTATCTTATCTTAATTTCCTTTTTTCTTTTTCCGTCATTTTGTGTTAACTTCTCCATTTGGGTTTGCGTGTGCGAGTCTTCTACTACTACACCTCACAAACAAAGGATTATGACAAAGAAAATGACTAATGAATGAAAAAAGCTTTATGATTACGATATTATTTGGATTATCACCAACGAAAGAAAAGGACCAATAATGATTGAAAAAAAGGCTTAATGGGTTTCTCATTTTTAAATGGGCCCACAGAATAAAATGGAAAGTTTTTGGGCCTACACTTCCCCACGCGGGAAAATAAACTCCACTTCGGCCTTTATTATGTATTTGGGTTCATCATTCAAAGCGAAGCCACGCTAATTTAGAGATTGTAACTACTCTTTCAGATAGAGACACGTGAATGATTTTGTTATTACGTGTGGCAGGACCACCACACCAATGGTGTGGACCTGCACCAAATAAAGTTGTGGAAAACATTATCACAACTATAAATTAGGTCTCAATAGGTCTTGGAAAGCAACATAGGAGACAATTTGTAGGTAAGGTATCTTTAATTTGGGGAGAGAAAAGTAGAAGCAATGAAGTTTTTTCGGTTGATGTTTCGGGCCCATTAACAAAGGGGCCTGTTTTCATTTTTAGGTTGGGCTAGATGAGGAGTCGGCCCAGTTTGTAGGAAGGGGTATATCCGGCAATGGAGGCGAAAAAATAGCGACCATGAAGAGTTTCTCTCTCCTCCTAACGGTTTTAGCATTAACAAAGAACGGATTCAAGAGTTTACAGCGTCCACGTCCCCTTGAAACACCGCCACGTGTCCTTTTGTTTTCTATAACAGTGATTCACTCCTTTGGTTCTTCCTCGTTCATCCCAATTCCCTCACAGAAGAGGAGTCATCATCATACAATAATAATAATAATCACAATGCCCACTGTTGCTGCTCCCCCTGTACCTCAAATTCAAAACACTACCGACCATGAAATTGAATCCCCCAAGAAGAACAGAATTCAGGTTTCCAACACCAAGAAACCCCTTTTCTTTTACGTCAATCTTGCAAAGGTATCATCATCTTTCTAATTATTCTATCTTTCTCGCTATTGCATGTTCTGCATTACTTAATTGTGAATCCATTGAATTTTCTTTCACTTCTTTTCATACATCAATGATACAAGTGACTCACCACGTTTGATTGAAGAAAGAGAGAGAAAGAAAAAATAAAATAAAAAAAATTAGGTAAAGGTGAAATGGAAAGAAAAATATGTGAATAGAACGATTCTGTATGAAACTCTGTAGTTTGGTATCTGTATAAGGCGGGATTTGTTATTTCTTTGAAACAGAGGTACATACAGCAGCGCGATGAGGTTGTGCTTTCTGCTCTTGGAATGGGTACGTTTTCCTCTGAAACATATATTTCATCATTTGTGTTTTATTAACAAAAGGATCATTTTCTGTTTCCCTATCATGTAGTTTTTAATGCGCTTGTATATTTTTTATGCTTGTTAAATTAGTGTGTGTAAATCTGTCTACAGCTATAACTACAGTTGTTACAATTGCCGAGATTTTGAAGAACAATGGACTTGCTATTGAGAAGAGTAAGATTTCTTGTGTTGCTTTGTTCTATGGATGCCTCATACAAGATTGTGTTGTAGTTAGCCTAATCAACATTTTGTGATGGAACAGAAGTTTCGACATCTTCAGTTAGCATGAAGGATGAGAACAAAGGTCGCCTGGTACAAAAGGCTAAGGTGGGTTGCAAAATGATTTTGGTTTCAGTTTCCTAGTTTATTTGGTCTTATTCAGAGGGTATTTGACAACTTTTTCATTCTTTACTAGATTGAAATTGTTCTAGAGAAATCCGAGAAGTTTGACACTCTTATGGCTCCTACCAACAACATTGAATCAAAACGAGTTGCTAACGAGAATGAGAAGAAATGACAAATATAGGAGATCTGGGTCAATGTGCACCTTGAGTAGTGTAACATCCATATTCACATATTCTTTTGTACTGTTTAGGTGTTAGGTAATTGTTTCATCAAATACCCATGATTAATGGAGTCATTAAGTTACCATTATAAACAAGCCACCACTCAGTGGTCAAACATGTAGGTTTTCATGTTTCCAAACTTCAATGTTGTCACTTTACATACGTCATTCCTAGACATATATATGATGATAATCATAATTACATAATCCTTAAATTCATTCACTATCATTCTGCCTCTTCCTACTACTCACTGGTTACAACTTTTCTTCTGGTGGAACTTTTGCAATGATTTGTCGTTTTCACAAGTTACATCTTGGAGTTGTTCCATTTGTTTTTTCCTTCTAAAATAAGGTGGGAGAAAGAACCAAATATGAAATGGAAATGGAAATGGAAAGGATGTAACCTTATCCTTGTATCACAAAAAGGGATTTATCCCTCAAGTGTCTTAAAAATAAAGATGAGAAGTATGAGGAAAGGGACCTATTCATAAACCCTTAAAGCAAAGTTAGAATGAAGTTATTTTCTTATTTGTCATGCAGCATTTTTTTAGGATTTGAAGGGAATGGTTAAAGAGAAAAATAGAAAAATATTATAAAATAAACTATTTTGTAGAGTTAGAATCATAAAAATATTTAATTTTTATTCTTTTAGAGTGATATAAATATCTAAAAAAATAAAATACACAATGCATATGAAATAACAATAGTATAAATTTGTACTTTGTAATATAATAATAATATAATAATAAAATAATAATAATCTTTTTATTTATATTATTTCAAAACTATTAAACAAGTAACCAATGATGGTGAATTTTTGAAAAAATAAAGTGTTTTTTTTTTTTATGTAAGTACTAATAAAATCTAACAATTATCGAACATGAACATCAATGCATGTATGAGATCATTTTAATTTAATAAATGATTTCAAGTTTAAGTTTTTAATGTGAAATTACACGTTATATTAATTTTAATATAGTTTTCTTATAGGAAAAATTATGTTAATTTAGAAAATAAACGTTGACTGTAGCTTTTTTTTTTTTTTTATCTTATAAATGATACTTTCTCTCTTTTAATTCTTAAAAGAAATTTCACTTCCTTTATATTTTTAATTAACTCTATTCACTTCCTAATATTTTAATAAAATAGTATTCATATCTATTATTTTATATAAACATGTCATATTGACCAAAAAACTGGAAAAAGTTTTTAAATATAAAAAATATATAAAATATACAAATATCATAAAAAAAAATATTATTACTAAATTACAAATTATCTTATAAAAATATGAAAATATTTTTTAAAAATATTTTTTAATATAAAATCAACAGTAATAGAAACCGTGAATAAATTTATTAACTTAATTTTTATATTTTAACTATTAATAAAAGTAAAAAGTACCATCAATATTTTATTAATATATATGAGAAAATGGATGTATATTTCAATACTAGATGATTTTAAACCATTCAATTTTTTTTTATATATATAAAATGTCTTTTTTTTTTAAATATTAATTTTTAAATTTGTGTATACATGATGACTCAAAGTTAGTTACCTCTTCTTTAATTTAAAAACATTTTTCTTTAAGGATTCAATCATTTTCACGATTCATGGGAGTTTAGAAAAAATTCTATTAACAAACGACGGAATTTTTTTTATTGTTTTCGCAATTAAATTTACTTCCATCTTTTCAAGTTTATATTTTGTAATTTTTTTTTTGCAATAACCAACTTCTTTTTTTGTCTATTAACAATCATAACTTTTATTATATTCATATTAATTTTAAAGTCAACATTTTTAATAGGAAAATAATTACATTTCTCAAATCTAAAGTCCTCGTCTTAAAGATATTATAATATTCCTCACTTGAAGAGATTTTTTTATTATTATATCTGAATTTTTTTTTATATCTTCTCATTTTGAAGACAATTTTTTTATTACACAATTTCAAGATTTCACAATCAAATATAAGTAAATGAAATATAAACATTTAGATTATGAAAAACATTTGTAGAGTAAATGATTCATTTAAATAGACACGCTATTTTTCTTTGTCACAATAAATAGTAACTGGAAAGAGCTTAACCAACTTATATCTTTTATGTTTACAAAATATTCTAGTATCTTTGTAAACTTTGTAAAATTAGGCACTTTGAAAACAATTTTTTTATCCAAGAATAAGATTAGGAGGTGTATGAGAAGACTCATTTGTATGATAAAAAAGTTATTTTTATCTTTTTGAAAAGCTTAAAACAAGGAAAATTTGTAAATGCGTGATTTATAAAGCTTATGTACGAAGTTTAGGTAGCTGAAAATTTGTAAATTTGTAATATTTAGATAAACTATATGAAAAATAAGTTAATATTTAGATAAAATATATAAAAAGAATGTCTCTGGTTAATACAACATTGTTAGTAAATTTTTATGTTCGAAGTTTTATCTTTAAAAATCACCATAAATGTATTTTAAAAAATAATATTTTTATTTATTATAACTAATTTTATGTTACCAAATAAAAATATTTGATTTATATAAAAAAATAAGTTGATGTTTGAGATATACTGTAAAATTAATTACTTTATTGGTTATTTGAGTGTCTTCATAATTAAATCACTCATCAACTTTCTATCTAAAAATTACACTAGATAGGATTATCATTTATTAAAATATATTTATGCAAGTGTAATTTTCCAAAATTAATTTATGTTTGGAAGACACGTAAGTTAACATTTGGTAAACATTATACTTTGTTTTCCCCAGTTTAACTAGTTTATTGAAAAATTTAATAATAAGATTTTTTTTATGAAATATGTTGTTTTTAATTTTATATGAAACATGTTTGATTATTAAATGATATCAACATATTTACTTCCCTTTGTAGTAAATTTAAAATTTAATGTATTAGACAGTATTTTATTGTACGAAACATGAAGATTTTTTATTTAAATTTTGTTGTATAAAACTTTAAAACAATTATTATATCATATTCGACATTAATTAGCATGAAAAATAAAAATATAGGTAAATTCATATTTATTTATACACAATGAACTTCAATTTTACATACAACAATTAAAGTTAAATAATACAAACACTTTATGTTTATACAAATTTATTATGTCCAAAAAAAATGTTTATACAAATTTACATTAAATTATAATTTAATTTTGAGGGGAAAAAACCAAATGTAGGAAGATGTTAGCTCAGTGGTTGGATGACGCATAGTATCTATCTATCTATCTATCCATATTTCTGCACCATCGGTTTTTGATACGTAATACTGTCCCGCTTCCATTCTTCGCTTTTCTCCTCTTCTCTCACACTTACCTTTCTTCTTCTCCTCAACTCAAAACCCTAGATTCCTAACTGTACCTTCTCCTCCTCCCAATTGAGGTAATTTTACACACTACACTCACTTGTTCGATAATTTATTACTCATTTCTCATGGCGATTAGGGGATTCCCCGTTAGATCCATTTAATTTGAATCCTTCCTGTTCCTTTCTCATGTGATGTTTTGTTTATGTCATATCTGTCATATTGGTTGTTGTGTGTTTTGGCAGTGAAACCTCGATGGATGAAGTGGATCAGAACACCGGCGGTGAGCCTGAGGCGGAGGAAACAGTTGAGGCGGAAGTGCACGGTGGCGACGAGGCGGTTGTTGCTGAGAAGAAGTGGCCGGGTTGGCCTGGGGAGAGTGTGTTTCGGATGTTAGTTCCTGCGCAGAAGGTTGGGGGCATAATTGGACGTAAAGGAGAGTTCATTAAGAAAATTGTGGAGGAGACACGAGCTCGCGTTAAAATTCTTGATGGTCCTCCTGGAACTGCGCAAAGGGCTGTAAGTCTCTTCTACTTAACTTCTCATAATTCTCAGACACTCTTAGCTTCTTCAATTCTGCTTATATTTATCTTGTTGTCTAGTTAATTTTGCAACTTCGTTTTTTCTTTCTTTTCTTTTGTTGAGGGGAATGCGGTTTGATGTTTTTTGTTGTTGATACTTCAGCTGCTTGTTTTTGGACTAGTATTGATTTGGAATCTTTAACGTGCTCTTGTGCCTTTTTTTTTTTTTTTCTTTTCCTGTAATGCATTTATCTTATATCATGATTTTTAAAGGTTTTGGTTGAGCTTTTCGGTGATTGGAGCTGTGGAAGACGTTGCTTTCTGATTTTCTTTGCCGTTTCATGGTGATAGAATTGAGTTATATTTTATATACAGTTTAACCATTATTGGATTAGATATCAGAAATAAACCGAAACTCTTTGAACTGATGTCGGTCTCCTTTTTATGAATTAGGGCTAATGTGGTAGATGTTGACCTTATACGTATGCATTAGGATATTTTTCTATTTATTCTGTGTCCTAACTCCTTATAAATATTTAGCTTAGAAAACATTAGGAGAGTCAAAGTTCCTTTGCATATATTGGTGGTTTGGTTCCTCTTGAACAACTGGAATTTATGTTTCGTGCATCACTTCAGAGTAATTCTGGTGATGCTAATTTCCAGTAGAATTGAGACTGTGGTTGGTCAGTGATGTTATGAAGGATAACACGTAGTGACTGTCTTTCCTTAAGCTATCTTTCATGACATTTCCAGTGTCCACTTGTTGTATCCAGAAATTTAAATAAATGTATTACAGCAATAAACAATATAGCTTGCTCATGATCTAAAACTCTTAAGTGTGACCTTACTCATGTGTAAAAAAAAAAAAAAAAAAAACAAGGTGAAGGTGATGAAGCTAATTCGAAAATGAAGAGTGATGGCAAGAATCCACAGAATATGAATATAATTCTAACGGAAAATGAATCTTTGCAGGTTCAATGTTCCAATTTTAAAGGCAACGACTCAATCATCAATTAGGTCCCAATATTGAAGAACCAAAGTTCCAGATGCAGGGATCAGCATTGAGCATTGCAAAGTGCTGAAAAGTTTGTTAACATGTAGATATTTTGTTCCAAAGTACCACGAAGCTCTGCATTCCATCTGGTAAATTCAAAACCTGGATGATTGATGTCCTGCCGCAGCTTGCAAGAAATGAAAAGAAGCTTATAACCAAATCTAATACTAAACTTAAACCATCAAGTGTCAAAACTGATTTTTTTTTTTTTTATTGTTATAAATGTTATTGGAAAAAAACCATAGAAAAACTACCCAAGTCTATCAGTCAACTTAATTTGTAACACATGGAGATTGTCTGTGTTAAATGATTTATAGTTATCATAATAGTTCTATACTAGATGATATTGACCATACTGTTATGTAATTAGCTAAATGCACTCTCGTAAACTGAGATTCAATCATTAAGGAGTTAGAACACACTTCCACTATGATGTGCGTCTTACATCTTGTGACATGTCATAAACTATTGGTCAAATACAATTATTATGTTTCAGCTCAAGACTTCCATTTTTGCAAGCAATTCTTACGTCTGTTTTAGTTGGTTGAATAAAAGCAGCAAGGAGCATTTTTTTGGTATATGAAACTTATGGAGTTATTGCATATATTGTAGAGGGCTGGGAAGAGAAATTTAAGTATATGCTTATGGTTTACTACTCAATTAAGAAAAGTGGGTGTAGGGCTGGCAAACGATGTATAAGGTGTGGAATTATTGTAAATATTGGTAAATGGGCAGAGAAAGGAGGGAGTTCTTGGTTAGGTGAGGAGTTAAGGCTGTACAAGCTTTAAATTATACCATAGATTTATTGAAGATGCTCATTAAGGTCTCATCTGAATCATGTTCCATTTATTCATCCCAGTTGGCTCTAATGAACAATGTATTTCCATAGCTGGTACTTAACCAAAAGTTGTTCCCCATTTTAATTTTCAGGTATGGTTAAATTATTAAAAAGGATTTCATGGTGAATAATATTCTTGAGAATTTGGCTATTAACTAAGCTTAATGGTGGTATGTGATCCCTGTAGTCGATCTCACATAGTGAAATAAGACATTGCTATTAGGTGAAGATTAATTAGGTGAAGAGTTGTTGTGACAAGGTCGTGAACATAATGAGCTGTGGGACTGTTAAAAAACTGATCTGATGGTAAAGTATTTGTTTTTGTTGATAGGATATTGTAGAGACTAATTGGGGAAAGAAGATATCACAGAAATAGGATTTAAGTTATTACATTTTGAAATATTCAAAATTGCTTGTTTGTTTGATTTCTTGCTGAGCTTGACATTATAGGTGTCATATAATATCCATGGTAATTAATGTTTTTCTTGTGTGCTATTGTCTGTTAAAGTTAATTTATTTTTTTGTTTGCCACCCTAATTATTGTTTCTGTATTCTTGTTATATGTAGAAATTGAATATAATATGGAGGACAAAAATAGGCTGATGGTTGATGGTGTTATTTGTTGTTTTTGAGTAGGTAATGATATCAGGTAAAGATGAACCTGATTCCTCTCTTCCTCCTGCTGTGGATGGCTTATTGAGGGTTCATAAGAGGATTATTGATGGTTTGGAGAGTGATTTTAACCAAGCTCCTTCAGGTGTGGCGGGCAAGGTTTCTACTAAACTTTTAGTGGCAGCCTCACAAGCAGGAAGTTTAATCGGAAAGCAAGGAGGAACTGTAAAATCTATCCAAGAAGCATCCAATTGTATTGTTAGAGTTCTAGGAGCAGGTTCTTGTTTTTTCATATAACATTTTCTCACCTAGTTGTTACTTGTTGCATTATTGTTTTTAATCATTATTTTAGCATTCTGTATTTTCATGGATTATTATTATTATTATAATGATTTTTATTTTTTTATTTGAACATGATTTGAGCCATTAGCTAGTGTCATAACTTTCTTGCCACTGTTGGATTTATCATTTATTATATTATCAATATCATGAAAGCAATCAGATACGTATAACTAACTCTTGTTACTACTTAAATGAATTGTTAGAAAAAAATTTCATTCATTTACTACTTCATTTGTCAGGAGAATAATGTTGATCTCAGTTTTGATATTTTATTCAAGATCAATAAATCTAATTATAGTTTTTGAAACATTCTGGATTTTTCCTTGTCTATCCTTTCTTAACTGGACATTATTGCAGGAACAATTTAAGGGAGTGGTATGAACAAATTATGGAGAAAATAATATCTATTACTATGTTCAGATGTATGCTGATGTATGCTTTCAAATATATTACTGAAAATTTGAAGATCTATTCCAATCTTTGCATTGTGGTCGGACGGCTGTTTGACATTCTCTAGTTGCTAACCATCTGCACGGACTTTATGTTCTGCAGAAGACCTCCCAATTTTTGCTCTTCAAGATGATAGGGTGGTTGAAGTAGTAGGAGATCCTGCTGGAGTGCATAAGGCATTAGAGTTAATTGCGACCCACCTAAGGAAGTTTTTAGTTGATCGTAGTGTAATTCCAATTTTCGAAATGAATGTAAGTGTGATTTCACCTTACACTTGTGAAGAATCTATCTTTATAATAAGATGCAAAATGCTTCTAAGAGCCTGCCTGTTTTAGATTTTTTAAGGAAACATTTTAAAATTTTGTATTGTTAAAACTTTTGAAAAAATATATGTTGAATAAATAAATTTTTAATTATTTTTAGTAGCTTCTGAACAGAAGCTAACTACTTTTTCAAATTAAAATGTTATTTTTATATGGTTACCAAATAAAAATAGCTTTACTTTAATTTTTTTTCTAAAAATTAAATTATATTTTAACACATCCTTCTTTTATCATGAAAATAACAAGCCATAAATTATTATTTCTCCAGATGCAAATAGCCAATACCCATCACACTGAGCACATGCCACACCACCAATCTTGGGGTCCACCCCAGGGTCTTCCTCCAAATGCTGGTGGAGGTCCTGGTTTTGGACCTGCTTCTCAATACATCCCACCTCCACGACAACTCGAAAGTTATTATCCACCGGCTGAGATCCCTCCTTCAGTCGAAAGACAACCCCATCAAGGTATATCTGCCTATGGAAGAGATGCTTCGATAGGCGTTCATGCATCTTCAAATACTCAATCTGTACCTTCCATAGTCACACAGGTACTTGTGCTTATTGCAAAATTGCATTGTAGTAAATCTCACAGAATGCTGTAATTGTTCTTAGGAATTGTCGGTTTGTACTTCTGTGGGGATTTTTTGACTGTACTGTATCTTCAATTTTGTTCCATACCTGTGGTTAACCTAGTTGGCTAGTCACAGAATTTTCCCATTAGATTGGTAAGTAGCATTTCTTGTCAGGTTAGATTTAAGATGGCAGAATATGATTCAAAAGGCACAAATACTTGGATTTTTAGCTTAAATATTTAAGCTGAACAAAGTATGAAACATCTGTGAATGTTTTCGTCAGTTGTTGAGATTAGATGTGGTGTCATGTTTGTTTAATAATTTATGCTTGACTATAAATGGAAATGTGGGTGCAGGCAAGCACTCTTGTCTAGCTTTGTATTCACATTTAGGATCGGAGAACATGGAATACATACGTTAGACCTGAGCTCCTGTTCTTTATAAAATGTATTTGCTTTTTTGGCAGATCACGCAGCAAATGCAAATTCCTCTATCGTATGCTGATGCTGTCATTGGAACGGCAGGAGCGAGTATAAGCTACATCAGAAGGGCTAGTGGAGCTACTGTTACCATACAGGAAACAAGAGGTGTTCCTGGAGAGATGACAGTTGAAATCAGTGGAACTGCTTCTCAAGTCCAAACGGCTCAGCAACTGATACAGGTATTTCGATCCTGGACTTTTAATCAACATTAAAACAATTCAATCCGAAAGATGCTGCATGTCTTGTAATATTTTTTCAACGGTAGTATGAAATTATTTAGTGAAAAGCTGTTCGCAATGTTCATTGGGGACCTAAAATATTCATTTTGCATGAGCTTCATTAAGATTAATCTTTATAAATAAAAATGGAGAAAACTATAGGCTAGTTGAATTTCTAAATTACAATTTTCCGTTGCAAATAATCATCTCATTCAAAAATTTGGAGTAAATTTGTAATTTATATTTTCTTCCTATTTACTCTCATTTCATTTTCAATCTTCCAGTATGTATTATTATCTTCTTTGGAAAAAGTATCCTTTAAATAAGATAATTATTTATTTTACATGTTTGGATAAAATTTAAGTAGAAAAAGAACAAAAAAAAAACAGGAAATTTTTTTTTTCTACTTTTTTACTATCATTTTCTTAAGCATAACAAACAGATCCAATGTCAATGTTTGAACTGATTTTAGGCATGTCTGGAAACGCTTAAATTTAGATTATCAGTAGTTTATTTTTCAAAATTTCTCCGGGAGAAAGTTAGTAAAAATGAGTTATATTTCTTTTAAAAAGTTAAATTAAACATGCACTTGCCTCACGTGATTAGTATGCATGGTAATCAAGCAATACAATTAATGAATGTGGTGCAGAATTTTATGGCTGAAGCTGCAGCTGGTGGAGCACCAGCACAGCAGCAAACAGGTGGGCCTGCTGCAGACCAAGGATACAATTCTTATCCTGCCCATGGTTCTGTCTATGCGTCTCCTCCTTCCAATCCAGGACATGCTGGAGGCTATAGCTCCGTTTATGGTGCAAACTATGGCTACTAAGCTGGACAGCGCAAGTAATGATTCCACTATTGAAATGTAAAATGCTGGGAACAGAATTAATGTAATAATTTAACAAATATTAGATTATTGTGTGACACGTGTTCTGTTGTATTCGTAGTCATTTGAAAGGTTGAACATACTATTCGTGGCCTTTGATGTATCATTTACTTGTTCTTTGATTTTGTCTAATTGGTGCACCTATTTGGCGTCCTACTTTTTCCTAAATTACTTGCCTACTTAAATACTTAAGGAACTTGTAACGAGATTGTAGCTCTGTTCGGTGTGTGGAGGACCTTATTTGGGAATGCCTGCCTACTGGAACCTGAACTGCCTTCAATCAAGTTTCACGCAGTTCTAATCCAACGCAGCGTTTTTTTCCCCTTAAATTTTATTATTTTATTTATTTTTCCTTCTATACACAATCCACATCCATTGTTACACAGGACCCTTGCGCTACGTTAAGTCAGTTGTGTTTATAATAATCATTTACTTTTTTCCCGTCTGTGCCGCAATTTTGGTAGTTCTTAAAAGCGATATCGCGAATATCATTATGCACCTGGTCTCCATAAAACTTCATAGTTGTTAATCCATCCACCTTTTTTTTTTTCCTGAGTACGGATCACATTTCATTGTGTACGGCTGTACGTTTTGAGAAGATGAATGTGTCCTGCTAGAGCAAATCAAAACAACTTCTGCGTCTTTTTATACATTTGACGTGGAGATTAGTACTTTTTTCCCCGAATTACTAAGGCTATGTCTGGTTTGGTGATAAGTTTAACAAAATACCGAAGACAATCAGTTAATAAACCTCGAGTTATGCTTTTTGTCCCTCATATTGAAACAGAACACAGAAATTTTACGGTCTAAGAAGTTCTGGATAAGTAAGCAAATTGGGAGGCTCCAATACCTGGGTTTCCAGGAACCATTAAGAATTTTAGCTTGAAATAAAAGTGTATTGAAGTGTTGTATGCGCAATGAAACAATGCAAATTAATTGACTATAGATACACAACAGCCGAAACAAATTAATTCACATTAATGTAAAGAAAATAAAAAGGCTAATTTGGTGGAGGGTCTAAGCTAGAAAGCCTAAATAATAAATAATAAAAAGCTAAGCTGTATGAGGAGACTTAGATGGGAGCTGCACAGGTGGTTCTAAAGTGACCTGTTTGATTGCAACGACTGCAATGCACAACCCGTTTTACACGCCCACGGTCTTCTGCTCGAACCCGTTTCTTTCTAGGTCGACCTGGGGGCCTAAGAGATTTAGGAGGGTTAATAGTAAGTTGAAGTTGAAGTTGATCAGCATCAGAAACAGCGATAGCTCCCTCTGTCTCAGACAACTCCTTCCAAAGAGACTTATCAGGAATTGGGTGTATGGTCTGTGAGTATGTCTTCCTATAGTTTGCAACTGTAAAGCAGCTTTCTGTGAATCTTTGCACATTCTGCCTAATTGAAAGAAGAGCAGCCACAGCATGTGCACAAGGCAAACCATACAGCTGCCACCCACGACATTGACAGCAACGGGTCCTAATATCAACAGTATTTGTTCCTTCATGTGATATTACTTCAAATTCAGCATCAGTGGCACGAAGTACCTGATGTGTCCTCGCACGATCAAGGGCGTCTGTAACAAGTCTCTCAGCTGAAGGTACAAGTATTGATGCCCACTGCATACTGGTCTCTCGCCGCTCGTTAAACCAAGTCATTAGCTGTCTTCTGATGCATTCCATCATTTGAATTATTGGAAGCCCAGATGCATCTAATATCCATGTGTTTAAAGACTCAACTATGTTTGCTGTAAAATGAAAAAAACTTTGCCCCTCAAAATATGCAGTAGCCCACAAATGAGGTGGAATTCTTCGAATCCAATACGCTGCATCTTGTGATATTTCTTCAATCTCTAAAACTTTTGCTTCAAATTCAAGTACGGTAAGAACTTGAGCTGCTTCCCACAGAAGATTAACTAGTATTGTGTTATTAAACTCCTTGCGAAAGCTGTCACTCAAGTGACGCATACAAAATCCATGGAAAGCAGTAGGAAAATTTGCTTCCACACCATCTACAATTCCCTTCTGCCTGTCGGACAAAATTGTAAGCCTTGGCATGTTTTCAGTGTTAGTCTCCATCAGGTTATGAAGTTCGGACAGAAACCACATCCAATTATCATCGTTCTCCTCATCAACAACACCAAATGCCAAAGGAAAGAGAGCCCCATCACCATCAAATCCGGTGGCAAGAAGTAATGTTCCAAGATACTTGCTCTTTAAATATGTTCTATCAAGCTCCAAAAGTGGTCGACAAGCATTTAAAAAACCATATATTGATGCTTGAAAGGATATGAACAGGCGTTGGAAGCAATTATCAGTTGGATTTCCATAAACAGATGCAATACTGCCTGGATTTGTGCGTTTCACCTGTTCACAGTATTGTGGAAGCAAGCGGTATCCCTCTTCAAAAGATCCACGCATTGCAGCCATGATACGCTCCTTGCCTCTCCAAGCTTGCTTGTATGACAAAGTGATGCCATGAACCCTATGAATCTCTTCCAATATCTCCTTTGGCTTGCAATTAGGATTCTCCCTTAGCCTTTGCTCCACAGAGGTGGCAACCCATTGAACTGAGGCTTGTTGATGGCCAAGATGTGAAATTCCTCCACATGTATGATTCTCATGGATTGTCCTAATTGTAAAAGTTGGAACACCAGGGAGTTTTGCTGCATGAATGCGCCATGGACATCCTTCACTCCGGCATTTAGCAGTAAAGCGAGTCTTGTCAGATTTTATAGTCTGCATCTCAAAGTGCAGAGCAATAGCTGTATCCCTCAGCGCCCTCCGGCAACTCTTAACATCAGGAAATTCTTGTCCCACTGACAATTCATAATTTGGACTTATGGCTAATGTACGAGCCTGAATTACAGGGGATGTGGCAACCATAAGCTGGGATTCATGGACACCCATTTCTTCAGCAGATTCAATACTCATTTCTGGGTTCTGGACCATAGTCATGGCCATGTTCTCATCAAATTCCTGATTTTCTGAAACAGTCAAACCATTATTCTCAGGCATGGCAAAGTCATGATTTTGTGTGGGAATGGGGATCTCATGACCATCATGCTCCGGTTTTTGATCCATTGATAGCTCATCCTCATGCCCATACGTCTGAACAACATCTCCTTCATCATCATGGTTCAGTCCCAATCCCAATTCATGGTCATTGGCAATTCCTAAGCCCAGTTCATGATCATGAGTGTGTCCCAGACCCAAGTGTTGATCATCAGTTTGTCCCAATTCCAAATCATGGTTCCCTCTCAGGCCCAAACTATGATTATGGTTCAGCACCAGTTGCTGGTCATGGCCATGCGCTAAATTATGACTCTGGCCAATTATCAAATCATGATTAGCCATTGAAGACACGAATCACTATATATCGCAACAACAAGAATTTGCGAATAGAACGCCAGCTGCAAGAAGCCACAGATAACAATAGACATGTCAGATAAAATCATACAAATGTGAAGTTTGATGGTTTATATCCAACTAGATACGCTGAACTTCAAAACTGCAGCTAATAAACAGTTCAAAGGATGCACGGGAGTGAAGATACACCACCATCACCAAATCCAGCAAAAGTACGAAATCCAGACAAAACTATAGACGGCTACAAAGATGGGAAGCATAAACAAACAAATACAACGCTCTCTCCGTTCCTAACAACCTAGCTATCGCAAGTTACAAGTCCCAAATTGCATAATATAATGTCAAGTGTTGAGTACAATTACACTATAGGGATTACAAAATGCAAGTCCATGATTGCGCAGCACACTGTTAATAACCCAAAAAAAAAAAAAATACCATTCGAACTTCTACTAATTTAAAACCGTCCCAAAAATAAATTGAAATCATAGGGTACACAGTAAAAACCACCGCCTATAACACACAGAAAGAGAGAGAATAAACAAAACATCAATTTTGCAATCCAAATAAATTGAAGAAAAATTTGCATTGAGCTTAAGTTAAGAGTGGTGGTGACTCGAGTGAAGCTATGAGTAACCCATGAAAAGAAGACTTCAACAAGACTCCCCACTGAACATTTTAACAAAAAAGGACAAACTTTGAAGGAAACATAAAATCTTAAGCAGAATTCGAAACGATAGTTAAACAAAAATTAAAATGTAGAAATTACAAAGCACCAACCCATAAATTGAAGGCAATAAATATGTTGATGAGAAGGAGAGCGAGAGTGAAATTACCTGAAAGATTGAAACTTGGAAGAACAAACGCGGAACCCTAGGTGGGAATGGAAGGGGGTGATCGAAAAAAAAAAAATAAGAAACGGGAATTTGAAAAAATGGCGGGGAAGTGGAGAAAATCGGAATTAGGAGAAGAAGGGTAAGGAGAAGAGAGGAAGATTGGGAATTAGAGGGTCCTCAAGGGAAATCCATACCTTCAACCAAGCACCAAGAGAGGGTATTTAGGTCAAACGAAACCACCCTCTCCTCTTTTCTTTTCCTTTCTTGCTAGTTACTCTTTTGCCCCCACTTGCAGATAATTCTTCAAATATACAAAGGTTTATATGCTACACTATTTATCCAAATTATAATCTTTTTTACATTTCATTTTTCTTTTAAAAATGTTATGCCCTTATTAAATCCTTTATTTAATACCAAAAAACTCATTCAATGATATGATTTTTTTTAATTACATTCTAACTCTTCACTTATTACTACAAACTTTTAAATCATTGTTTTTCGGGTAAAAAAACCATGAAATAATATGCTAACACCTTATTAAATAATAATTTTCCCTTTTTTTAACCGATAATATTTTTATTTTATTAAAATAGTGATTTTTATTTAATACTTTTTATTCTACTTCATAATCAATGATGATGAATTCTAATGAAATGGTTATGAGATTTTTTATTTATTTATTTGACCTTCTTTATTTATACTTTGAAATAAATGTATAAATGTTAAAATTTGTAGGTAAACTATATCTCTTAATTGTTGTCTTGAAATATTTAATAATTTATTTATGAAAAGTAAGAAAACTTATTAATCTCATAAATACTTTTTTATTGTCTTAAAAATGGTCGCTCTTGATATTGAAAAAGTATGTTGAGGAATTTACTGCAACACGTTAAAACTAGAGAATTAGGAGAGATACTCAAAACAAGGAGTAAAACCTACAAACTTTTATAATTCTAATTTCTTAGTCATTTAAAAAATATTCAAATTGATTAATTTTTCACCTTTCAATAAATATTAATTGTTTGCTTAACTTTTCTTCAAATGAATTATTCTCTCCTTTAAATTAATATATTTATTTAAATAATAAGAGTCTAACCTACACTCCAAATAAAGAAAAGTTCAATATGTTATGACCTATATATTAAGTAAAAAAAATATTACAAATTTATATTTTAAAGTTCACCATAACTTCAACCTATCTTAATCCTATATTAAACCAAACAAATTAATAGATAATTTCCCCTAATTGAAAACTAAAAGAATTACAACTTATACATATAAAAACAATTCATCTAAAATATTAATAAAAATAAAAATAACTTTTTAAATTTAAAATTGATAAAATTAATTTTAATTTAAAATATAATAATTTAGTATATAAATTATAATACACAAATATATTTTAAGAAAATAATATTATCTTTTTTTTTTACTTAAAATCTATAAAAAGTAAATTATTCTATAATTTTATATGATTGAACTTAATCAAAATCATACATTTAGATTATAATTTTTTATTATTATTTTTAGGATTAGACTTAGACAGACCTGTATGACTTGCCCAAATTATATGGATCACTTATATGTCAAATTATATAAGATGATACTTTTGATAACAGGGTTTATAAAATACACTCATTAGAAAATTAGACAATTGTATTTAATAATAAAATACATATGTATTATTACATATTATTAATGATTGTTTATATATGTTATATATATATATATATATATATATATATATATATATATATATATTTATATTTATTGTAAAACAAAGAGTAATGCAGCACACAAAATCATAACTTTAACCAAACAAAATTATCTAAAAAGTTCAGCATCTAGACATAAGCTACATTTATGATATTTTAATGGCCTCCTCATGTCAGCCTTATCATCCTGAATTCATCTCAGCATGCTTTGGTGGTGTTGAGTGCGTCAGTGGAGACTCTTGAATCTTTTGGAGGTGTGTCAGCAAACTCCCAGGAAAAGTTATCCGCTCCATTGTAGTGTCTATTACCTGCTACATCACCAATGGGAACCGCCTCAGAAATTTCTCTCACGTCCTTCTCTGACACTTTCAATGCTAAGGCTCCTAGGTTTTGATCCAGATTTTTTATCTTTGTAGTTCCTGTAAAGGTCCAAACAAATTAACGAGGAAGATAATAAAAAGGTGAAAAAAAAGAGAAATCTCAAAATGCTTCGGATATATTTAACAGTTCAATATACTTTATGTACTCCTCAATTTATCAATGACAGGATCTACTGCACCAACTCTCTTCACTTATTTAACCATAAATATGACTAAACTATATTGTGCTTATAATTTGTTCAGAATGACAAATAATAATAATAATAAAAAATACCATCTTCTTGCTATCAGATATTTTGTCACTCACCAGGGATAGGTATAACATCCTCTCCTTGATGTAGAACCCATGCTAATGCCAACTGAGCAGGAGTGGCCTGATGCTTCTTTGCAAGGCGTTCGATTCGTTCGTATATATTCTTGTTCTTGTCCAGGTTCTCGGCTTGGAAGCGTGGAAATGCTTTCTGATAAGTTAAAAAACCATCAGAAAACAGTATCCATTCTTTTCTTAAACAAACAAAGAGTGTCAAAGAGTGTCGGCATTCACAGCATGATAACCATTTTGGTATCCAGCAGAAACACATGCAAACGTTAAAATGATTTATACCAGGCTGCTATCTGCAGGCACATCTTCCAGGACTACTTTTCCCCCAAAAAAACCACGACCCAGAGGACTATATGGTACAATTCCAATACCAAGTTCCCTGTACCAAGATAAGCATCACAAAATTGAAGTCAGTTTAGATTGACACAAAAATACAGCATCACATTCTAAGTAAGTCAACTCAACTATTTTCTTTCCCCTCCTTTCCAGTAGAGCTGCAGTGGCATGAACTTGAAAAAAAAAAAATCCAACTAACCTGCAGAGAGGGACTATCTGTTCCTCAATGTCACGAGTCCACAGAGACCACTCTATTTGCACAGCTGTGATGGGATGAACTGCGTGTGCTCTTCTAATAGTATCGGGACTGGCTTCAGATAACCCAATATACTTCACTTTACCCTCTTCCACTAGCTTCTTAAGTTCAGCCACCTACAATATATCAAACTATTTAATATATGTATACATCATTATAGTAGCACAGGTATATAATATGTCGTGATATATATGAGCAAAATCATAGATTGGTTTCTGAGAGGAAGAAATCCCTAACTGTTTCCTCTATAGGTACAGACTGGTCCACTCTATGCTGATAGTAGAGATCAATGTATTCAACATCAAGGCGCTTCAAGCTACCTTCACAGCATGAACGCACATATTCAGGAGAACCCTTTATCTGAACATTAGAATAGACCCTTCCCGCAATACCAAATTTCGTGGCTATCTGGACCTTTTCTCTGGGTAGCTGCTTCAAAGCCTGCTCAAACAAAACCAAAAAAGTGATAAACACAACAACTGAGTAATAAAGGAAAATATACAGTCATATATATTCATTCTAACATAAGCATGATTACTTGAAGTCATAAGGGAAACCAAAAATTGTCCGAAAAGGCAAGTTAACCAAACTTCAAAAAAATTCAGACAAATAGTAAAAGTAACAGACATAAACGATCGATTTGTACCTTTCCAACCAAAATTTCATTAGCATTAGCTCCATAAAAATCAGCTGTGTCAAAAAAGGTTATTCCCTGACTGAACGCGTGCTTGATAATAGAAATGCCATCCTCTTCTGGGAGAGGCTCATTGTACGCTCCAGTAAGGCCCATGCATCCGAATCCCAGTTTTGAAACCTACAACATAAAAGAAAAACAAGAATGAATATTACACATTAGTAGTATGAAAGTAAGAGGAAGCAAGTAAAGTGGGTAAAGTAAATTACAGATTGTACGTACCTGAAGGCCTTGGGAGCCAAGTTTAACTTGTTGAATGCGTTGCACTTGATCCATTCTGGTATGGTAGCTGGTTGATGATGGCACTGTCTTCTTCTCTGAGTTGGGCTTCACACTCACAAGTTACAGGCATTATATAGGCATAGGATCGCAGATTGACTTCGTCATTCTTGTGTCAGAGAGGCCCATGTTTTCATCACTCATGACGCTTCCACTCTCCTTTTACAGATTCGCTTCCTTCCTTCTTCGTTTCCGCTAAAACTATTACGCCAACTCCTAAATAATTCATGGCCCTACCATCATTTCTAACTTTAAACTGTTTCAATTTTCTCTTTATTTTGAAAGACCCATCATGGATTTGTGAGTTGAATTTTGAAACTTTAATTTATTCCGATGTGATCGGTGAGTTAGATTTTTAAACTTTAATCCACCCTAATATTCTCTTAAAAGCAAATTTTATTTTTTCTTACTTTTCGATATTCTTTTATAAAAAAAATTATTTATGTTTTGATATTTGTGTTTGTTGAAATCTTTGAAGATGAATTTCTGTTGTCTAATGTGGTAGTGGTTAATTATGATTAATATGTATATTTTTTTAACCTATTTGTCGTTAGGGATATTAAATAAATATACTGATCAACCTCTATATCTCATTAATATTTTGTTTGTGTGAGACAATAAAATATTTAGATTAAATAAAAAGAAAAATAATAAATAAAAGGTAAAATATTTTATTTATTATTAATATTTTTATTTATTATCTTAATATTATATTATTAATTATATATATAATAAAAAATTAGTGAATATTAATTACAAATTTATCATATTAAATAGAAATTTTTGTTGCTACATATTAAAAATATAATTAATTACTTTTATCATTCTTTATGTTTATAATTAAAGATCTAAGTAACATAATAAATAATATATTTCAAAAAAAAAATTATCTTTATCAATTTTATTATTTAATTACACAGATTTATTATTCATACACATAATTTTATTATGAGCATAGGATTTATTGATACAATTTTTTTTCACTTATTATCTTATTTTTCTCTTTCCTTAATTTTTTTTCCTTTTTTTTACTCTTTATTTTTCTATTTTTCATTTTTTTCTTCTCGCATCTTTCACTCTACTTTATCTTATTTTTTAATTAAAAATATTATAGTAAAAATTGATAAAAATATATTAAAATAATATTTTTAACCTTATAGTAAAAATATATTATAAATAATAAAATGTTTATTTTAACCTTATTTTTAATAAAAAAAATTAAAATTATTTTGTAGGACTAATTATCACAATCCAATCTAATTATAATTAAATTATATTATTAAATAAAAATAATAAATATTTAATATTTTTAATTAAATAAATATTTTATTTATATGATAAAATAATTTTAAATTAATGATTTACGGTGATCAAATTTTAAATAACTAATTTCTATTTTTTTGGTTTTAATGTTGATTTTAAAAATAATTACTTTAATATATTTTGAATAAACTTTTATCTAATATTTTTATTTAGAAAAGTAAAGAAGAGAAGGAGAGAAAAATGATAAAAAAAAGAAAAAACAGGAATAAAAAAATGAATAAGGAAAAGACAAATAAATAAAAAATACAGGTGAGAAAAAGGAAGATTAAATGAGCTATGAATGGTGAACATTATTTATGACACTAATTCTTTATGCATTTAATTTTTTTAACATTTGTGTTTTTAATTATAAAATTCATGATTATTTCTTCATCATGTCATGCTGTTTAGCTTTCTTAAACAGAGCTTAAGGTAACGATATATATTATTTTATTGAGAGAGAAATATCGATAACAAATTAATGTTTTTATAAAGTGTAAGAATATAATTTAATTTTTGTTTGTTTGTAAGTATAAGATGGGAATGTATTTTAAACTAAACTATTTTATAACTTAAATTAAATTAATTAAAAATATAAATAATTTGCACCAAAATTAACCTGAATTATGTTCCCAGTTAAATCTTTAGCTAAAAAAGTTAATGGATAGACATGTTAATGTTAATCCTTAGGTTATATACCTTAATTAAATACTTCTACAAGATTTGAAACTGCTGATATAAATTCGATCTTTATTATCTTTGTACTTATTATTTTTCTAGCATCTATTTTATTAACTAAAATATTAATTCTCAGAATAGTTTCAGTTCAGAATAAATATTTCAAATTATTTATTTTATTATATTAATAATAACTATCTAACTAGTTTATTAAGGTTTAATATTAAAATTATCTAATTTAGTTTAGTTTTTTAAAATTACTTCAAATTAATAATATTTTAATTTGTTATATAAATTAATATATATTCAAATTTATCATATAAAACTAATAATGACACATTAATAAGCATATAAAAAACATGATAGATCTAAAATCTTAGAATATTATATTGTATAATATGAATTTTTATAATTTATATGTCATTTATCTTCACAATTTTTATAAAACATGGACTTTAATTTATACTTAATTTTAACTAATTTGCCACTTAAGTGAATTTTTGATTAAAAAAATGATTTAGTTATATTAAATAAGAAAATATAATATAATTTAACTATATGAAATGGAAAAATATTTTTCCATATTAACTATTAATTGTTGTTTTTTATTACCTTAATTCTTATTAATCATAAATAGAAGCATTTACATATATGTATATAAGTACACAATTACAAACAATTCTGCTGCATACCAGTCTTGGATTTATACCAAAATAAGGTCATGCACATTGGGTTTGGATAAATCATTCAAAAAACAGGTCAGGACCAATAAAAAAAAGCACATTTGGTTTCCTTAAACATGAGTTTAATTTATATCAATTAATCAACCATCAAATGTTCATAGTTGACTTGGACTATTATTATGCATATTTTAACTCCATATTGCTGAAAAAAAAAAAAAAAAAAAAACTCACAAAATTATCATAACTTTGTTTACTACATCTACCTAATGCATTGGTGGTAGCTGTAGTACAAGTTTTTGCATCTCACATATGACAATTCACAAGTGAATACTGAAAAGGATTTAGAGTGGCTTAAGTTCAGACCCTCGGATCTATTGGAGGTGTGTTGGCAAATTTCCAAGAATCTTTATCATTTTCAAAGAAGTATCGAGACCCTGCTACCTCATCTATGGGAACTGCCTCAGAAATTTCTCTCAACTCACTTTCTGTAAATTTCAGTGATACTGCATCGATGTTTTGATCCAGGTTCTTAATCCTTGTTGTTCCTGTAAAAGTCGAGTCAAAGTTAAACACAAGGCATCTCTATATTTAAGAAGATGAGTAATAAGAAACATACAAATTGACGTTATTGCTATCCTGAAACTGGGCTAGCACATTGATCCACCAAAGACTTAGAATTATTGCAGATCTGATAACTCCTCCTACTACCAAATGGTACAACAAGAAACTACTCTCTTAATCCTTACAAATTCCTAAATACAGCACTTATGCTATACTCCTCAATGCCCACAAATAACAATTGACATGGGAAAATATTCAATTCTAAATTTGAATACGTCAGAAAAATTGCATACAAAACAGAAAAAAAAAACCATCAAAACTTCTTCTGATTGAAGAAAACAATATAACCATTTGAAAAGACAATGCCTAATAGGAGAAATGTCTGAAATGATTATAAAGTTCATTCATAGAACTTCATTGAGAAGCTTCAGCAAGTGACTTAGTACACTAGATCATTTTTGTGCTGCAGTTGGCTACTACTATACTAGCTAATTCAAGTGAATGGTGAACTTTCCCCATGACATATTCAATATAACACCTTTCAATGGGAAAAAGTAATGTTAAACATTAATAGGCCACAAAGATAAGCAGACTATGCATAGCTATAAATATGTTAATAAGTTGTTCCGATTGAGTAAAATAAAACCATAATCCTGAATCCTTATACGCTGAGATACTAATTTGGAGCAGTTGATATATAAGACATTTTATCACTTTTTATATTTTTACGAAGGTAAACATAATTTGTGACTCACCAGGAATGGGAACCACATCATTGCCTTGGTGGAGTACCCATGCTAATGCAAGTTGCGGAGGAGTGCAGTGGTGTTTCTTAGCAAGGCTTTCTATTCGGTTATATATTAACTTGTTCTTTCCCATGTTCTCTGGTTTGAAGCGAGGATGATATGAAGTCTGCCAAATGAAATTACAAGCCATCAGGCAACCAAATCTCTTCTGCATTTTTTTAACACCCATTCCAACTTTTTCACTAGCTTTGATTCGGAAAAGTAACATAGATGGTACCTTCTTTCATTACTTTTGTTCATTGGAACAAGTATTTTCAATTTGCCGAATACATAGCAATTATAAAACAAATCTGGTACATGTTCAAGTTGAAGGATTCATTGTTATTATCTGCTAATTTTCACATAAAAGACATTCTACAATATGTAGTCGAATACACAACTATATGCTAAAATATTGTACCATGGCGTTATTCACAGGCATGCTTTCCAGAACTCCTTTGCCACCAAAAAAGCCCCTGCCCAGAGGGCTGTATGGTACAATGCCAATGCCAAGCTCCCTGTACCAATAACATACACACAAACATAACCAGCAGACCAATTTCTTTTAATTGTATTTTTCTACCTTTTTTCCAAGTAGTTCATAATTAAACAGAGGATCAAAATACTAATTTATTATTTTTAGTCAAGGAACAGTTATGAGAATTATACATTCCAATGATCTTGGAGAAGAAACTTGAACTAACCTACAGAGAGGAACAATCTCCTCCTCAATGTCACGGGTCCATAGGGACCACTCTATTTGCAAAGCTGTGATGGGATGAACAGCGTGTGCTCTTCTTATAGTATCTGCACTTGCTTCAGATAACCCTATATACCTCACTTTTCCCTCTTCCACCAGCTTTTTCAGTTCTCCAACCTATGGTACAACAAACCTGTTAACAATATGTAACTTTTGTCTATTGACATGAGTCAGATGATGACAGAATATGTAGTAGAAAGTATATAATAAGTTTTAAGAAATAAAAAGGTATATTAGAAGGTATCTGAACTGTTTCCTCTATAGGTACTGTTTGGTCGACCCTGTGCTGATAATAGAGATCAATGTACTCAACGTCAAGACGTTTCAAGCTAGCTTCACAAGACGATCGCACGTACTCTGGTGTACCTTTGACTTGTGGATTAGGAAAATTCCTTGCTGCAATGCCAAATTTGGTCGCTAGTTGGATCTTTTCTCTAGGTAACTGTTTTAGAGCCTGCTCAATGCAATTAATAGTGAAACAAATAGCATTTTATTTAAGAATATAGATAAAACTGGTTTCACAGTATTTCCAGTATCATACTTATTGAAATTTAAGGCAAGGGTGAGCAGAAATGGTTACTTTTCCGATCAAAACTTCGTTAGCGTTGGCCCCATAAATATCAGCAGTGTCAAAGAAAGTAATTCCCTGAGTGAATGCATGCTTAATAAGAGATATGCCTTCATCATCAGGAACAGAATCAGTATAGGCTCCACTAAGGTTCATACACCCCAACCCCAACTTGGAAACCTATTGAGAGATCAAAAAGATTCAGTATCATAAGAATAGTTGATGTTATTCAACAATTATGGCTATACTTTGGTCATGTGTGACCGGAATAATTGAAGTGACAATAGGAGTAAATAATATGACATGGTAGTACCTCAAGACCTTGAGTTCCAAGCTTGACTCTTGGAATCTCCACACTTTTCTCTTCTGCCATTTGCTTCCTCTTGGTGGATAACTACAGAACTATATATATAAACTATAATGAACTTATAAACATTTATCGACGACTATCTTTCTAAGGAATGGTTGGAAATATGATAAAATAATATATTATTAATAAATAATAAATAAATATAAAAAATAAAAAAAATAAAAAATAAAAAAGTAAAATAATAAAATTATAAATATATAAATAAATATATTAAATAATTATTAAGTTTGAGAAACAAAATTATAAATTATATATAAATTAAAAATAATAAAAAAATAAAATTATAAATAAATATATTAAATTATCATTAAATTTAGAAATGAATAAATCATAAATAATATAAAAAAAAAATCAAACTTGGTAACCATCGTGTCTCCGAAGAATATACACCACCTTAAAATATTTTAAGAGCAGATAGTGAAACTCAACTTTGTTATTTACAATGGCAGAATTCCAGCTCAACATGACAACATGTTTCTGCCTTTGCTTTGGCTGCATTACTTTGGTTGGTTTTCTTATTCTAATATTCAAAGCCAGATGAGATCCTAACCGTTAATAAAATGAATGGATGGTGAGATGAATGAAGTGGGAGAGTTTGGTTTTGTAGAGTGTGGTGATTAGCTCATTGCATACGTCAGAGTCAGAGAAAGAAAGAAAAAACCGAAAAAAGTATTCATTGAATCATCTTTAGTTTTAACTGTTAAATATTTTATTATAAATTTTATATAGAATATTTTGTTATAAATTTTATATAAATAATTTAAAATTTAATAAAAAAATTATATAATTTTTAAGTGATTTTTTTAATTTTAAATAATTTTTACTATGTTTAAACAATTTAGATATAAGTTACATATATCAATATTTATTTTTATTTTTATATCAACCACTTACAAATATTTTTAGAGAATCAAAACTGCACCCTTTTGATAGAAATAGTATTTTAATGCAAATTATATTTTATTAAGAGTTGCATATTAGATTAGAAAAACTTTAAATAATTTTATCTTAATTTTGAGGAACAGTTCAATATAGAAAGAAACATATATCAATATAAATAAAATCATTTTATTCTTACACCTTATCAAATGGTTTCAAACAAACTCAATAATTGTAAATCAATTTTTGAAAACAAAATACAATTTAAATGAACTGAATTGATAAACTAATTAGTTATATAAAATGAAAATATTCTATATAAAAAAGTGTAATATATCAAAAGAAATGGACACAAGCAAAATAATTAATGTCTAAGTTTTTCTTGCATTATTTTTTTTCTAAATACCATTAGAATAATTGTTTCTTAAAATGCTAACTTGTAGTTTTTTTATATTTATATTTATTTTATTTTTAAATTATTTATTAAGTTTCCTTTTTACTTTTATAAATAAAACATTATTTTATTTTAGTTTTCTTCATCAATCATAAGCATGATTTCATTACTTTTAGCTTTTTTATGAATGATAATATTTTTTATCTTCTGTTAAAACAATGATAGAAATTAATTTTATATTATTTTTATATGGATACTATCACATTATATAATTTATTTTAACTATTACATTATTTTTAATATTTTCTCATTATTTAAGATTATATTTCGTGAGATAATATATATATATATATATATATATATATATATAAATAATAAATTTGTTGTACTTTTATAATTTATTATTTTTTATATTACATTGCGCATATTAATCATGACACTATATTATATTGTTTTCGGTATTATACTTCAACATATTAAAACTATTACATAATCAAATTGTTATGTCTATTTAAAAATACGTTATTTTTACTTGTTTTAACTTAAATGGAAATATTATAAGATATAATATAGATTAATAAAAGTACACAATATAAAATATATAAAATTTGAAACTAAAATAAATATAATTAAAATAATTTGTCTATAAATATAAGATTATCAAATTTAAAGTAATTGAAATTAATATTAAAAATATACTTAAAATATAGTTTATTTATAAAATTAAATTAAAATGTACACAAAAATTGTCATATAAACATTTCTTTATTTTACCTTTCTCAATTACTCTAACTTATAATTTAACCAAACACTTATAATATAATAAACTAGTTTAAAAACTTTCAATCATCAATTTTGAACTAAAGATTAACTTTTTCAACTTTTTAAACCATCTTTCAGATTTTCTCAAAGGGCAAGTCTAATAGACCCTTCTAGTAGTGTCAAATATAATGTAAGAATATTTAATAGTTTTTTCTCCGAATTCAAAAATTTAATTTAAGTAGTTGGTCATTTTTCATAAGAATATTTGTACAAATTTTTATAAAAATTTATACAAAATAAAATTTCTACAAATTTAAATAAATTTTTATAAGAAATTTTAAAAAAATAACTAAAAGTTTAGTAGTATTTAATGATTTTATAATATATTATATTTTTAAGATATGAGATGTAAAAAAAAAGACCACGTAAGAAATTGTATATTGTTATTTATTTTTTCTATTATAAAAAAAAAAGTACGATGTTTATTTTATAAGTCACTCCAATTTTTTTTCTTTTTTCCGGTGTATTACATGATAATTATGTCCACTTATTTCTTTTATGGAGAATATTATTATTTTTTTCTTAGATTTAAAAATATGTATTGTAATTTTTTATAGTCAAATTTTATTATTGTCTCGTTATTAATTTTGTAAATTTTTTTATTTTTTATTTTAGTGGTGAGTTTTTATGTTATTATTTTATTCTTAATCGTGGTATTAGATCTAAGTTGGTTACTTGGTCACTTAGTTATATTATTATTAAAATATTGGAAAAAAAATTTAGTATGTCTGTGGTTCCAATTAATCTAATCCCCAAATCGAAGTAAAATAGTTATTCTAGTTATTGGGTATAAAGTGTGATAGTCTAATAATGCATGTCTAAGAAAAGCTATAATAATAAAAGATTATGTATTTATTTATAACCTATCTCTCTTTTTCAGGAGTTTATTTGGTGTATTAGTTACGATCTGCGTGGTTGTTTTAATAAGAAATAATATATAATAGGTGTCTAAGTTGGTTAAAATTGTGACAACAAAATATAAAATAGAAAAGTTTAATGATAATAATTTCTCGTTGTGAAAATTGAAGATAAAACAATTTAAAAAAAAATTGTACAAATGCAATTAGAGAAAAACTCATAGACATCACGAATCGAAGGTGGGAAGAAATCAACAATAACACCATAACAAATATACACTTAGCATTGCATAAAAGGATATAGCAATGGAGATTTTGAAGCCCCTCATCAAATTATATATACCATCAAATTGTATAAAATTAAGTCACTTCACACAAGAATATTCTTAAAGAGAAAATTTTATACTTTTCGAATGAGTAAATTCACAACGATGACGGATCACATCAACAATTTGAAAACAATGTTTGCCCAACTTTTAATTACAAATTTCAACATAGTTGAAAATCAATGTATTGTATATTGTCAGGACTATTCTTAAAGACGAACATAGGTGAAAAAGTAAGGTGAAAATTCTGAACTAAGCAAATGTTTTGACCATGAGGAGAAATAGATGAACAAAGTATAACTCTAATGAAAGTCAAAATTATGGTGGAGCAAATTCTCAAGGAAGAAATAATTTTATTTGCTATTAGTGTGGCAAGAGAGGACACGCCAAGAAATATTGTTAACTTGGAGCAACATAGATTGAAATTTTCTAGAGTAGCTACTAGGAAAAAAAATTGAACATTATGATGTGTTAGAATTGTTATTATTATCTCTAAGAGGGGCAAAATATTTTGTATAGATGATGATGATTACTCTAGGAGATTATGAGTGTATAACATCAAAGAGAAAATTTGTTTATTCAAAGTTAAAGAAAAATACTGAATCCAAAATTCAAGAAGAACAAATTCTTGGACTATGCTAACAATGTGGATGTGTATTTATTATGAGATCCCACTACCCACAAGGTTATTGTTAACAAAGAATGCAAACATTATTTTTCTTCAAGGTGACCTTGGAGAGAAGATTGATTTCTTTAATTGGAAGACTTAAAAAAAAAAACCTTGTAGGTTAATTAAGTATTTGTACTGCCTAAGTGGTAGTACAAGATATTTGATTATTTATGATTAACTTGTTTACAAAATACTTAATTCAAACTATTGTACCTATTACAAAATATTTGATCAATATAATCTTATCACTTCATTGTTGTATGTAAATGACATGTTGGTGGTAGGTTCCAACAAAGTTCGAATCCAAGTTTTGAAAATATAGTTAGCTATGAAGTTTGATATGAAAAAATAAACCAACAAACAAAATTTTAGAATACAAATTCACCGATATATAAAATGGTAGGAAGATTTAACTTTATTAGAATAATTACTCACCGAAGGTCTTGTAGTACTTCAACATGCAATAATATAAACTAATTTATGACCCTTTCTATTAAGTAAGTTATCTTCAAATATGAGTCCTAATAATGAAGCGAATATGATGGTAATGTCTTAAATACTATATGCATCGGTGGTAAGAAGTCTTATGGATATTATGATCAATATAAGACTAGATACTGCACAAGTAGTGAGAGTGATTAGTAGATTTATGACAAATTGTGGTGGAGAACATGAATATTATTAAAAGGATCATTATCAAATGAATATCAGATGTTACATTATGTTTCGGAGGATCAAAACTAATTGTTAAATATTATGTTTTGTTCAGGTTTTATAAGTAATCTTGATGTGTTTACACTTGTAGAATAGACAATAAGTTGATTAACCAAGTTATAGAATGTTGTATCAGTATCTAATACAAAAGCTAAGTACACGATAATCACCCACATATGAGGAAATTATCTATATTAAAAAGGTTAATGGAGGAACTTGGATACATGCGACAAAAGATTATTGAATACTGTAATAGTCGAAATGTCTTGCATATTGTAAGAAATTTTGTCTTACATTCTAAGATAAAACAAAAAGAACCTAACAGATACTATGACAAACTCAATTAACAAAGACAAATTTATAGGAAGTCAATTCTACTAAAGCTCTATTATAAAAAATAATAACATAATAGACAATAATAATGTAGAATGACGATTTAATTAATTTAATTTAAATGAGAGATAAGAGAAATTCCTCATCAAAGAAAATTATATACTAGCGCTTACTTTTTTATTATAAAATAAGTATAAACATATTGTAAATTACTCAAAATTTATTATCTTTTCACTAGTGAATTATTATTATCTTATTTTTTTAGAAAAAATATTAGAATAATAAAATGTTATTGTTATTTATTGTTGATTTTTTTTATATTTCATTAGTTCTTATATTATTATTGTTTTGATTTCTAATAGTGTCTTTCTCTTCTATATAATTTACTTTATAGAAGAAGAAAAAATATTTTTTTAAATTCTTAAAAAAAAGCTGTTTTTTTTAAGATGGTAACTAATTCATCTTATTTTATTATTCATCAATTTAAGAATCCAATTCTTTTAGCATAGTAAATAATTTATCTTATTTTAATCTAAACTTTAAATAAAAACTAAATTTTTATTCTAAGTATCTATTTAGGAACCTACTTGAAAATGCTGCAAGTAACATTTCAACTATCATCACCAGCAAATGGTCTCCGCCTTTTGTAATTTCATGTGGGATATTAATTAACCATTCTTACTATCCTTAACTTCCCATTCATTTTAAACCTCATTTTAAAAAATATAAAAAAATAAACTTTAACCAACCATCAAGAGCCATAAACTGAGATCATTATTGTGCGTATTTTAAATCACATGTTGCTGGAACCAAAACCAGAACAACTCATTCACAACACCCTGGAAAGGCACTTCGTAGCTTACAATCGCAGTACATATGGATTTTGCTCCTGACATGTGAAAGTTCATAGATTACTGCATTATCCAACTGTATACGACTTCAAATGCTTCAAGTTGAGGCCTTTGGAGGTGTGTTGGCAAATTTCCAAGTAAACTTATGAGATCCATTGAAGTGTCGAGCCCCTGCTACATCATCTATGGGAACTGCCTCCGAAATTTCTATCAACTCACTCTCTGTAAATTTCAGTGGCAATGCACCGATGTTTTGATCCAGGTTCTTAATCTTAGTTGTTGCTGTAAAGGTCCAGTCAAATTTGCAGTAGTTAATCAGTTAATAACACGTTCACCAACCATCACAATTTAGTTGTATACACATATAACCATTTACTTTAGTATATAGAAAGAAGGTAAATAGGTAAAAAAACTCATCCCTACTATTTTCAACAAAACTTCCTCTTACTGAACTCTGGATATAAACATTTGAGAAGGCAACAAAAGTTGAGATGTCTGAAATTGCAATAACTGAGAAGCTTCAACAACTGACCTTTAATACATTAAATTATTCCTGGATTGCCTTATATGGCTAGTATCCAAGTTAAATTGTAGTTAATGTCAACTTTGTTTCCCTAACATCTATAGAATATAACACCTTTCAACAGGGAAAAGTAATGGAAAACACAAGTTCTCAAATACGCACATAATAGACCACAAAACAAATATGAATTGCAGAACTATGTTTGATTACTAAAATCATATTTAGTTAATTTTTCTTCTATTATTTTTTTAATAGAGCAGAAGTGCATATGAATACGAATATAATACACTAAAGATACTAATTTGGAGCAGTTGGTATGTTAAGATATTTTATATTTGAAGAAAAGGAAAAGATATTGTCACTTACCAGGAATAGGAACAACATGGTTCCCTTGGTGGATTAGCCATGATAATGCCAACTGGGAAGGAGTACAGTGGTGTTTCTTAGCAAGGGTTTCTATTTGGTCATATATAGTCTTGTTCTTCTCTACGCTCTCTGCTTGAAAGCGAGGATGGTGTTTAACCTAACAAGTGAAATAGCCAGCCATCAGGCAACCAAATCTCATTTTGTTATTGTCTGCTAATTTTTCACATCCAAAAGATCAACAGTATGCAACAAAAACACACAAGTAATGCTAAAAGTATTGTACCAGGATACTACTTGCAGGCAAATTTTCCAAAACTCCTTTGCCGGCTAAGAAACCTCGACCAAGAGGGCTATATGGTACAATTCCAATGCCAAGGTCCCTGTATCAATAAAAGCTTCTACTAAGTAACATCATTTTAATTTTATTGCTCTTTACCCCTTTGCATGTAGCTCATGATCATTATTGAAGAAAACATTTATAACTTATATGAGATGTATATGTTACTATTGGAGAAGAAGTTGAAGTAACCTGCAGAGAGGAATAATCTCCTCCTCAATGTCACGTGACCAAAGGGACCACTCCATTTGAACAGCAGTGATGGGATGAACAGCATGTGCTCTCCTTATTGTATCTGGACTGGCTTCAGATAACCCAATATACTTCACTTTACCCTCTTCCACCAGTTTCTTAAGTTCACCCACCTATAATATTTCAACAGAATTATTCCAAACATATTCCTAATATGATGATCCGGATGATGATAATATGTTTGAAGAACTTAATATGTGCATTAGAAGAAAGAATCCTTCTGTTTCCTCTATAGGTACTGTTTGGTCGACCCTGTGCTGATAATAGAGATCAATGTATTCAACTCCAAGACGTTTCAAGCTAGCTTCACAACACGACCGCACATAATCAGGTGAACCTTTGACTTGTACATCAGGAAAAGCGATCTTTGCAATGCCAAATTTCGTTGCTACCTGAACTTTTTCTCTAGGCAGCTGCTTTAAAGCCTGTTCAACAGAATCACATGATGAAACACTCCTTATGTGAGTCCACTGACCCATTCATTAGATAATATAAAGAAACGCACTTTATAATAGAAATTTCTCAATGGCTTTTATATGAGACATGTTTAAATTCATTCCAAATTATAAATTTGATGGTACCCTCTTTGATTAAATAAGAGAAAATAGTACTCATCACAGTTTTCTAATGACTGTTTATCATGGATAACAATTCTAATATGGACATATTCTATTTACAAATCTGTATGACTGCGACTATTAGTACGAGAAGGTTGTATTTTTCTACTTTCTTGAAATTACAGAAGCATAATTATTATCTAAAATGTTTATTTTTTATTCAATGGTGAGAGGTTTTAACTTACCTAGTTCACAATGAGTTCTGTAATGGAGTTAATTAATAAAAAGATAAAGTTGTGTCCAGTGTTTTAAGGCAAGGGTGCAAGAAATGGTTACTTTTCCGAGCAAAATTTCGTTAGCATGATCGACCCCATAAACATCAGCAGTGTCAAGAAAAGTGATTCCTTTGCTGAATGCATGCTTAACAACAGCTATGGCCTCCTCATCAGGAAGAGGATCATTGTAAGCTCCACTAAGGCTCGCACATCCGAACCCCAACTTTGAAACCTATTGAGAGAGAAAAGAAAATGAATTGGAATAAATAAGAGAAGTTAATTGAAGTGAGAATATATAGGAGAAGATTGATAGAACATAGAGTAAATAACCATATGATATGAGGGTACCTCAAGACCTTGAGTTCCAAGCTTGACTTTTGGAATCTCCACACTCTTCTCTTCAGCCATTTGATTCGTCCCTGCTCTTGCTGGATACTATACAGAAACTCTTCATAGCATTACTATTGGAGGCTGTGGGTGGGGTAATGATTTATGGACAGATATTTTCCAATGAGTGGTTGTAATTTTCTCAGGACAAAAGATGAAACCCTACCTTTTCCTCCAACAAATTTTCACATTCCTCTCTAACTCAAAATAACAACACCGGACCCACCCACACAAAAACTCTCAAGATAAACTCTTGCTCCCACAACCACGTCAATCGATGATGATGATGATGAATAACGGAGTATTAGTTAAGCTTACATTTCAGCGGTTCACTTTCTTGTTTTTTGTTTTAATATCATACTGTGTTGAGCAAGAGGTTGTAGCGTGTTCGGTTGTTTTTGCTCAGGTGTATCATCCACATGTCCAACAAATTCCATATTCTTTAAATAGTAATCTCTTTATTTTTAGGTTCGACATCAGAGTCGAAATTAGTGACTGTGTCCAATAACTCGATTAAATTATATTAAATAAAAAAATAAAGTTAACTTATAAATATTTAATAATTTTTTAATTAAATAAATAATTTATTATTATCATAGATAAAATTATTGAGAAGGTTCAGCAAGTGACTTAGTACACTAGATCATTCTTGTGCTGCAGTTGGCTACTACTATACAAGTGAACTTTCCCATCACTATACAATATAACACCTTTCAATGGGAAAAGTAATATTAACCATTAATAGGCCACAAAGATAGGCCAGAAGAGAAGTGTATATTTCTATTCTTACTTGAACATGTTCAAGTGCAGTTATAGAAATATGTTAATAAGTTGCTCCGATTGAATAAAGTAAAATCATAATCCTGAATCCTTATACACTGAGATACTAATTTGGAGCAGTTGGTATATAACATATTTTATCATTTTCTATATTTTGAAAAGGTGAACATAGTTTGTGACCCACCAGAAATGGGAAGCACATCATGCTAATGCAAGTTGGGGAGGAGTGCAGTGGTGTTTCTTAGCAAGGCTTTCTATTCGTTCATATATTGACTTGTTCTTTCCCATGTTCTCTGGTTTGAAGCGAGGATGATATGAAGTCTGCCAAATGAAGTTACAAGCCATCAGGCAACCAAATCTCTTCTGCATTTTTTTAACATTCATTCCAACTTTTTCACTAGCTTTGATTAGGAAAAGTAACATTTATAAATGGTACCTTCTATCATTACTTTTGTTCATTTGAACAAGTATTTTCAATTTCCCGAATACCTAGCAATTATAAAACAAATCTGGTATAGGTTCAAGTTGAAGTATTAATTGTTATTATTTTCTAATGGTTAATAGATTATATTTTAAAGCATTTGACTGAAACTTTCAAAACAAAGGAAAAAGTTGTCGTAGAAAGTCGTCGTAGAGGTGATTTTAGACAAATTTTGACACTTGTTAAAAAGATCCAGACATAAATATGGTCAAATCATTTATAGATTATTAAAAAATTTGAACAAATTGTAAAATTCTATAGATTATTGAGAATAAGGTTAAATAGTGAAAATATAAATGAAAGTAAGATATAAAAGAATTTTTGTTGATTGAATATTAAAGATTGAGAATTGAGATATGTCTTTGAATGAAAATGGTGAAGGACATCTTGACGTACTCAAAGATATATTAATTGAAGATAATAAATATTTTTACTTTCATTAGTTAATTTTATTTTCTTTTTTATATAACATGATGTTTGTTGGTATTTTTTATGATATTACTATACTTTGTCCTATTATTGATTTAATTGAGGAAGTTAATAATTTTATTTTATCTTTTATATCTAGTGAAGAAAAAACATATTTGAGTTCTGATATCTATGTCAATCAGATGAGGATCAAGAAATGTAAGATGAATAGTTTACATATGAGTTTCTTAATAACATTAAATTTTAAGATATTTCAAGTCATCGTCTTAGATTAAAAGTTGTTGTTCCTATAATATTATTAAGAAATATTGATCAAGCAAATGATTTATGTAATGAAAAAAGATTGTAAGTCAACTATTCGTCCAAGTGTATCACCTTAGAAAATCCTTGTTTTGTTAGTTAAGAAGAAAAGATGACAGTTTTAGGTTATGTGTAGATTATTATCAATTAAATAAATTCAACAAAATGAATAAATATTTTCTTCCAAAAATATATGATTTGATGGATCACTTGAGAGAAGTCTTTGTGTTTCTTAAAATAGATTTAAGTTCAAGGTATCATCAAATTAAAATAAAGGCAAAAGATATACATGAAATTGTATTTAGAACTAGATATTATCATAATAAATATCAAGTGATACCTTTTAGTGTGACCAATGCTCTTGTAGTATTCATGGATTATATGAATAAGATTTTTTTATTATTTTTAGACCATTTTGTAGTAATTATTTCTATAGATGAAATTCTTATTTATTCTAAGACTCTTGAGGATTATGAAGAACACCTTCAAATTATACTTCAAATTTTGACTAACAAACAATTGTATTCTAAATTGTCTAAGTGTGAATTTTAGTTAAAAGAAGTAAAATTTTTGAGACAAATGATTTCCAAATAAGGAATATAAGTGGACCCAACTAAAGTAAAAATAATTTCACAATGAGATTCACCAAAAGCAATAATTGAGATTTATAGTTTTTTAGGTTTGACAGAGTATTATTGGAAATTCATGAAAAGATTTTCTAAAATAATTATGTCTTTAATTCAATTCACCAAGAAATGTTAGACTTTTGAATGGATAGAAAGATGTGAAAGTAGTTTTCAAGAATTAAAGAAAAGATTAATCACTTCTCCTATGTTAACATTATCCCATCCTACTAGACACTTTATGGTGATGTTTTCAAAATGAGATTAGGATGTGTTCTTATGGTGATGTTTTCAAAATGAGATTAGGATGTGTTCTTATGTAAGATAGAAGGGTAGTAGCACATGCTTCTAGGCAACTAAGAACACATGAGAAATATGGAGACATCATTTTTGCACTCAAAATATGGAGATATTATGTGTATAGTAGGGAGTTCAAATTTTTTAAAGATCATAAGGGTCTTAAATACTTGTTTGGTCAAAAAGAGTTAAATATGAAACAGAGAAGATGAGTAAAATTTATGAAAGATTATGATTTTGAATTACATTATCATCTAAAAAAAACAAATGTAATGACAAATGCTTTAAATAGAAAATCCTTACATGTTTCTTCATTGATTATTCATGAGATGAGTTTGTTAGAAAAAATCAGAGACATCAATTTGTCAATTACCGTGAGCCTTGATAGAATAAAATTAAACCCAATCCAAATTATTAGTGTTTTAAAAAGACAAATCCATGAGGATCAGATAAATGATGAATTCAAAAAAGAAATAATAGGACAAAAAGATGGAGAAAATTTTGGCATAAATAGGACAGGAATTGTGAGATTTATTGGTAGGATGTGTGCCTAATGACGTATAGGTTAAGAAGTTGATTTTAAAAGAAGCACATAAAAGCAAATTGAACCTACATCCAAGTACAACAAAAATGTACCAAGATCTTAAGAAAATGTTTTGGTGACCAAGTGAATAAAAAAGTAGCACAATATGTGAAAAAATGCTTAGTTTGTAAAAAAACTAAAATAGAACACCAAAAACCAGCAATAGTGCTACAATCCTTATATGTACTTGAATGAAAATGAGATAGTATAATAATGGACTTTGTAGTTGGCTTACCACGAACAACTCAAAAGTTTGATTTCATATGGGTTATCATGGATATTTAACAAAATTTGTTTCCTTCTACCCATTAGATATTCCTTGGAAAAATGATTTAATTGTACATAAGAGAAATTATATGGTTGCTTGAAATTTCATCTAATATTGTATCTGATAGGGATCTTAGTTTACTTCTAAACTTCATTGTATGGGAACTAAACTTCATCTCAACTCAGTTTATCATCCCCAAACAGATGGACAGTTAGAGAAGATCATCCAATCCTTTGAAGATTTATTGAGAGCAAGTGTGATCAGTGGCAGACCTTTTTGGGAGCTGAAGGGGGCCATGACCCCCCCCCCCCCCCAAAGTTTTGTAACTCACAATGTAATTTATGATTTTGACCCCCCAAACTTAATGAACATTTAATATATTTACTTGTTTATTTACAATTTTATCCTCTCAGTCCCTCATCAGTTTTGTAACTCTCATATAATTTATGATTTTGTCCCCTTCGAATTTAATGATCATTTAATATATTTAAGTAAATATCTACAATTTTATCCTTTCACCCTTTCATCTTCTTTCTTTTTTCATCTTCTTTCTTTCTTTTATATTTATTTATTATTTATTAATAATATATTATTTGGCCCCTTTAAGATAAATGGTCAAGGTTCAGCCACTGAGTATGGTAGAGATTCTGGTAATTGAAATTGATATTTGTCATTGATTTAATTTACTTACAACAACAAATTCTATTCTAGCATTTGTATGACACTCTATGAGATATTTATATAGGAGAAAATGTAGAACACATTATATTGGTTTAAGACTGGAGAAAAAATAATCTTAGGTCCTGATATAATTCAATAAACCATGGAAAAAATTAAGATGGTTAGGAAAAAAATTAAAAACAACTCAGAGTAGACACAAAAGTTATTATAACAAGAAAATACGATCACTTGAGTTCCAAGAAGGTGATTATATATTCTTGAAAGTCACACCAAAAACTGGAGTTGGTAGAGTGATAAAATAAAAGAAACTCACTCTCCAATTTATTGAACTTTATCAAATTCTCGAAAAAAAAAAATAGTCACGTTGCTTATCAAATTTTCTTACTTTCTTATCTTTCTAATCTTCACAATATCTTTCTCAATTAAGAAAATATACTTTGGATCATTTTTATGTAATAATGTCGAATATAGTACAATTAACGAATAATATTACATTTAAAGCAATGTTTGTATAAATTACAAATACAAAGATCAAACAATCGAAGGAAAGACAAATTTCACTAATAAAGGTAATTTGGA